TTTCTCGTAAAAATCGCAAACATTCTTTTTTAAAACAGTTACGTCGATTTTGCCAGAGCGTTCCAAGGATTTCAGAAGTACAAGTGATTGCGACTGAATTAACAGACTTTACCCTTTTTCCTGCAAATTTAGCTTCAACTCTGACATGATAATTTGCAACATCTACAGCAAGGGTCGGCAACCTTTTGTCGCTCGCGGGCCAAAATTAAGGGTTGCAAGTCATTGGCGGGCCGCACATATCTTTAGAAAGTTGAAACCGAACGGATGATACTTCTTATAATAAAAATCAAGCAGTGATACATCTTATACAGTATAACTTATACAGTACTGTACTTTGTTTGCAATCCTAGTTTTAACACTTCCGTCTATTCCGCCATCCCTACGTAGACTAGATAGGGTAAGTTATGTAAAGTGAGAGAGAGAGAGGAGAGAGAGAGTTCATTTCGTCAAATATATGTAGTAGTATATATTTACGGTCAAACCAAGAAAACAATATATACATACATATATAAATATTGTAGCGTACCGACAGTCTATGAAATAATTATCCAAGTTCAGAATATCTTCCAATATGATCTGACGTCAAGTTTCTCCTCAATATTTACTTCAAGTTATGCTATTATATTTTATTTAATAATTAACAATCTCAACACAACCAAATACTCCAAACAAAACGACAAGCATACAATAAAGCGACAAATGGGCTACCAGGAAGCACAATGCAAAAAAACAGAATATACACAATAAAAACACTTTGAACAGTACTGATGATAGCTAATTCCTTAACAACAACCAAAAATACAACGCTAAAATTACTGCAATGGCGCTGTACTGGAACAATAATATCAGCATACTGTCTAAGTGTCTAGCATAAAAACAACCAACAAATCCCCATCCCGCAGTCACCAAACCACAAACAAACATCCCTGATAACCCACCGGAGACCAGAGGCACTCCCACAGACACTCATGACCAGAATCCAACCGAAAACCTACCACACTGTACCGGTACCAACCATTGAGGTGTATATAACTAGAGAGCGCATAGGAGCAAAAATTTTGTGCCGAATTGAAGGTCGCGGCGGCCATCTTGGTACGCGCGATTTTCTGCTTGCGGATGCAGTGAGTAGGTTGCATTTGCTGTGTCAGTGGTGCAAAATGTAAGATAATTTGAGGAAATTCATCGTTCTGCGCGTTGTAGTGGATTTTCACGCTATTGTTGGTGGTTTAGCCATTAACTTGGAAACGGATAATACAAAACGTGTATGCACATGAGTTGAAGAATCAAGTTTTGAAAGTCAGGTGGGTACGGTGCCGTACCGGTAGAATTTATATATGTGATTCGGTATAGATACCGGTAGTAATACCATGACACCTAATATACGGAAGCATGTTCTGTAAAGTAAGTCGGCTGAAATGCACGGTTTTGTCAGATTGCTGACATACCGGTACAGGTACCGTATTATTCGCTAACTAGGTTGTGCTTGATTCTGATGTGTTTATACATAATGCAATGGCAGTCTAGGTCTGAATCAATGAACAAGCTCAAATTGAAATCTGTTGAATAGACATTATTTGTTATGACTTATTTTGCTTTTCATTTAAAAATAAATTTTACTAGAGAAACAACATTCACCCATGTAAAAGCAAATACCAGTAAGTCATCTAGCAAGCAATCTGAACCTAGTAAGCCATTTCCCTCCAAATTCGAATTATTAGATGGTTCTTGTTGTGTAGTAATCGCTCTTCTGTTTATCAAGCCTACAGTATCAAATGATTCGAATTTTTCAGAGGAAAAGATTGTTATTGTCGCTAGAAGGCTATTACTTTTACTTGAACAGAGAAAATACGACAAAGACTTATCTCAATTTAGGCTTTCCGTATCAAAATATGTTGATAACAAAAATTCAGTATTGATATCATATTCATGATTATATCGCATAAAAACAAGTAGTTGTGAGCATAACGCCACTGCTTTAAAAATCATTATTCCTTTCGTCTCTGCTTACACATGTGGACATGGGTTTTCTATACATGTTCAAATTAATACGAAAACACGGAACAAATTTGGTGTGCAAGATCACATGAGATAAATAAGTACATGTACGCTATTTTTGTTGAGTGGCAGTGGCAGCTAATTTAATTGTTGTTTGAATAGCACTATGCTATGTTATTCTAATGTTTTTTTTTCCGGTTTGAAAATTTTGCGGGTTCGCAGATACTTCAGAGCAGCATAGGCCCCCAGCGAATACAGGTTGAGAACCACTGGTTTAGTCATCTTGCACTTTGACACGTCCCTATAAATTTCAATTTCACATATTTTTAGTATGCCATATTTGCTTATTTCTCTTTTTACACGTCCCTATAAATTTCAATTTCGCATATTGTTAGTATGCCATATTTGCTTATTTCTCTTTTTACACGTCCCTATAAATTACAATTTCGCATATTTTTAGTATGCCATTTTTGCTTATTTCTCTTTTCACACATCCCTATAAATTACAATTTTGCATATTTTTAGTATGCCATATTTGCCTATTTCTCTCTTTACATGTCCCTATAAATTTCAATTTTGAGCATTTCAGCTGTACCGCTGCACAACTGGCAGCATGACAAAAATAGACCTTTAAACCAAAAATCAATCAAGTTCGATATCTTACGTATTACTAAATTGAATATCTATTCAATTCTGTTTTTGCTAGATTTCACTATTAAACAAGACCTTAATTTAGAATATTCCGTATTATTGAATTTAAAACATCGGTCCAATTTGGCGGTTCAAGATTCTATAATACTCTCCTGATTGATTCACTAGGACAGTAATTAGATTTATGGATTTCAGACTTGAATTAGACTTAAAATTGTCTACTCTAAGAAAACCCGGTGTATCTCAAATAGAACGAGAGCTTGCAAACTTTTTTTAAGTTTTAATTGCATTACAAATTTTACAAAAAATAAACAATGCAGAAATGAAATGAATGTGCTTTGTGCTGTGTATTGAAACTAGTAGAAAAGCTGGTTAATTGAAGAAACTGGAGACACTTCAGGAGTAGGCAACAAATGACTTGTTTCACTTAACACTTTCACCTAGCAGTTAAAGAGGTAAAATGGCTTACTGGTATTTTGCTTTCACATGGATGGATGTTGTATTTCTGGTGACAGTTATTCAACAGTTTCCAATTTGGGCTTATTCAAACCTAGACTGACATGGCATCAGGTATCAGGGTATTCCAGGGTGGTCCAAGATTGCTCCGCGGGCCAAAAACTTTGCTCGTTTAACTTCGCTAGTTGCCTCAGCAAGCTAACACTAGTCAATTCAGTGACATTATTGATGCAAAAATATGTTAAAAGATTTTTTGGTTAATTTTATGACGAAACAACACGAAATGCGATTTTTTGATTCCTCTCCGAATGCGATGCGAGCCTGAGCTGGGACAACCCAGGTAAACCCCCATCAGAATCGAGCAAAACCTAGTTAGCGAAGCATCATTAGCTATTGCAGTATTGAGATATAGTCTATTAGGTATGGTATTTCAATAATCTTGCAAAGCCGTTCATTTCAGCGACTTAATGGACAGAACGTGGTTTCATATAGTAGGTGTCATGGTATTACAACCATTATCACTACCGATCACACATAAATTTTACTTGTATTTCACAAGCTAGACCAAATACAGCACCGTACCCACCTGGTTTCCAAAACTTGACTCTTCAACCTCTATGCATACACGTTTTGTGTTATCCTTTTCCAAGTTAATGGCTGAACCAACAACAATAGCGTGAAAATCCATTTCAACGCGCAGAACGATGAATTTCCTCAAATTATCTTACATTTTGCACCATCGAAACGGCAATTCCAACCCACTCACTGCATCCGCAAGCAGAAAGTCGCGCGTACCAAGATGGCCGCCGCGACCTTCAATTCGGCACAAAATCGCAAACGTCTAGCGCCGCCAATGCGCACTCTAGTTATATACACCTCAATGGTACCAACCACATCACACGCTATCAGGATACCAAATGACAGATCGACAGCGTCACAGCGCTCCCAGTGTCAAAAATACAAAATATAGCAACAATATCACATGACATCATCAAACAGACAAAACAAGGGTCGTCATAATACCAAACGAACAGATGTTTTCAGTACTGTACTACATTTGTGAGTCGAATCAGTTTATATTTCAGTTTATGTTGGTAGTCTGGTAAAGCTAAGACAGAACGGGTACCGTACCAGTAGGCTACTTGTAAGTTACGATGCTCCACAGTCTCAGCTTCGTCCAGGATATGATTTTTGAGGAGATGGTGCGGAGACGTGCCAGCGATTACCAATTGACGCGTGGCTTGAAATCAATACCGGTACCAGATTTTATTTTTGATGCGTTTTATCTCCATATAATTTTTATTAGAGGAAAGATTCAGAAATATGATATTGTAATCGATGAAACACTGAGATTCTCAAGCAATATACTGGTGGTTGCAGTGTGCTGAATAATAAATTCACATTCAATATTGCTTTCCTAAGTCTATGTTTTCTATTGCGTTATACAGATATATACATTGTCACTGGCACTTGTGCGTGTTTCAATCCTCAATAAAAATTTGAGCACTAATTTTCCTTATCTTCTGTTTTCTTACGTTCTACGAGAAAATTAAAAAGAACTAATGCAGAAACCGGGAAGAAGAGACTGGGGGCAATCAGCGCCCATCAACAGCCTGAACCCTAAAACACCCTAAAATTAAATGAACTAAGCCGTAAAGACTTAACTTCAGGGGTCGGCAGCCCGCGGGCCCAATTCGACCCGCGGAGTAATGTAACCCGGCCCGCGACGCTTCACTGAATTGTAGTAACAAAACAGCTGTTTTGACGATGATATTCGATGACGATGAAGTCGAGGGTTCAGAAGTGCAAAGGGTTCAATAGCGCAGAAAACATTCAAATGGAGCTCCTTGAGATGCAATGCAATGAGGAAATAAAATTCATATTCTATTCGAGAGATATATCACTGCTTGACATTTATTATTGAAAGCATCTTCTTCATAGAAAACTCCATCCAAATTTGACAAACCATGCAAAAAAATTCACATCGATGTTTTGAAGTACATATATATATGCATGCGAACAATTATTTTCGAAAATGAACATTAGGAAGAAACAAGCTGAGAACGGATTATTTATTCCGATTTATGAAATGTTTTAATCGTGGCCTCATTCAGTGTTCCATTTGAAAAAGCGTGATGCAACAAAAAGTGTCACATTAAATGTCATTTGTAAATTTTTTTCCTCAAGTAAGACGACCAAGTCGAGTTCACGAGTTGACGCAATCTTCGCGCGCTGCTCAAAATTTAACTTCTGATCTGTGTGAAAAAATTGTGATTCATCGGCTATCGGTTTTGAACTTTCTAAAATTATGTGCGGCCCGCCAATGACTTGCAACTATTAATTTTGGCTCGTGAGCACCAAAAGATTGCCGACCCCTGCTTCACACCGAGTTATTTATAATAATAATAATAATGCGTTTGCAAAAAGCATTTTTTTAGTTATGCAGCAAATTTAAATATTGCTAAAACATATATATGTTATATTGGATATTGAAATTGAGCAAACACGCATTTTAAAATTTTCAACGAGCATTGACTGAAACGCAAAATTATGAACATGTTAAATCATATACTGAGTAAAATATTTTGACTTTGCGTTAAGTAGGCTATCTAACGTTTACAATATTGTCATTCAGATTTGTAAAAGAAAATAATTCAAATTACACTGTTGCTTGAGTATATATATATTGATTTGACAAACGTTGAGGGAGAATAAATTTTCAGCAGTATGTGACGATGAAAGTAGTTAGACCTTGACGCAGCTCCCTCCTTGTTCTAGCTCCCACCCATCTTCACAACCGCAACGAATTCCCTGTTAAATCATGAAAAGCATGCATAAATTACAAAGCTGTTGCCAAGTTTCATCAATGATATCACTTTGTAAAAGATTTGATACTGGTACTACTTCTTTTGGGTTTTCGTGTACATATATTTGAGCATTGGCGGAAATATAAAAAAGTACGTGGGCCGGAGGGAGGTTTTCGTACGTTAGATATTCCACAGTTACAGCTTTGTCCAGGATATGATTTTTAAGGTAATTGTAAGTGGAATATTTTGTTTTAGCTTTCGTGTCCATAAATTTGAGCAATGCTTTCTTGTGTTCTAATTCTACTTTTTTCTTTGTATTGTTTTAGCATTGCTGTAAGCCTACTAACCTCAGGTGTGTTGAAACACAAATGGGCACATCTCCCGTTATCCTGACCACACGGACTTGTTATGCCAGGTGGGGGATATAACTTGGTAGCCTTAATTCCAAATGGCTGCATATCAGAAGGCATAGTCGCTATGTAGCTATTAATAGAGTCTTCTGCTACATTAAAACGTTCAATTTGATTCGTTTTCCAATCCGTCCAATATATGTAATCGTCTAGGTAGCTAAATTGAAGGCAAACAATATCCGAGTTATTGCCTCAAGCATTGCATCATATTTATAAAATAATAACATTTGAATTAGTAAAAAAAATATGAGAGTTATGACTAATTAGAGACATTAATATCTTGAATAATATTTCAGTATCTGAACGTTTTTACTTAAACACTAGTAGGCCTACAGCGTTACTGACCTCATTCCAAATATGTGAGGATTATCACCCGTAGACAAGGTTTTTCTTTCAGTTCCATCAGTATTAATGGAGTATATTTTGTCAGTATAGGCATCACCCCAGTAAATTTTGTTTCTTTTGATGTCTATTGCCATTCCTGATAAAATAATTAGAATTGATTATAAAAATAATATTGTAAATAAAACTTAGTCCTAGATAGTGTTTGAGCCATGTCTATACTCTACAATAAATAGAAATAAACGATCCTAGGATGTAAAAATCGACACGTCTTGTTTTTATTCTGCGTAATATTAGACTATTTAGGAAACATCAAATTAGAAATTATTATTTTGATTAAATCATTGTTGTTTTATTATTTTATAGTGTTGGTTAAAAATATCCAAGATACCTACAACGTTTCTTACCGTTTGGCCATTGAATATCATCGCTGACTAATGTTTTTACATTAGATCCGTCCATCCATGCAGACGCAATTCTAGGATTGTCTCCCCATTCAGTCCAATATATCTTCCCTCTTGATGGATCAACTGCAATGGGTCTATAAAATTGTAAATAAATAGTTTTATGTAAGTCATTAATGTGATTTTGTGTTTTTGAAATGGAGACCATACCCTACAATATCTTTCATTCAGTTGTATCAAACGATTTCAAACTAAATTTATCGGACACTTAGTGGACCTATGGATCGTTTCAATATTATGTTGTTGTTGTTCTTGTTCTTTGACACGTTTTTGGACACCTAGTGGAAAACCTAAAAAGTCGCTTTTTTCTTTGATTGATTCTTTGATCAATTGCTCTGAAATTTTCAGTGGTTAAAGATAAGATTTTTCTTTTATTTATTTCTAATATTTCTGTTAGCTCTGTGAGATTTGTTATTGTTTGCTATGACGTCACCGAACGTTCTGCGGACGCATAATAGGCTGGCACTCCTCTTCATGTTTTTTAAATCCCGTGCTATCGAACGTCGGTGGTTCGTAACAAAATCTTGGCTTTGCTAAGATTTGAGGAATGGTGAATGGCGAGTAGTGACTCGGATCGTTGGTGTTACTACAGTTGTGAGTCGGACCATCTTGCAATTTCAATTCACGCTGTCACAAGGCAGGAACTTCTAAAGATAGGGCGGTTCCGGTACCGTAACACAGCGCGGTGACACTGAACTAACTCGTAAGTGTCTTGTAAAAGCGGGGCTTGCAGTCACTGTTATAACGGATGTCTTTGAATGTTGGTGCTTTTCTTGGAATCAGTAAACGTGTCAATATATTTCAACTACGGTATATTTTACTCATCTTAACTAAATTTGAGGTTATTGCACAATATATTATCATATTTCTTTTCGTACCTGACTCCATCTAAAGTATCATTTATTAGCAGTTTTTTTTGTCTGCTCCCATCCATTCTAGATACTTTGATAGCATCCTTTTCCGTCCAGTAAATGTTTCTCGCAACCCAATCTATTGCTAACCCTTCTCCGGTTACCGTAGAATTGAACACTATAGAGTAGTCTTTTATAAAAAGAAGTGATAGAAATTAATTCCAAACGTTGATGGGATATATTCGTCCTGCATAAATATATTATTCATTCTTTTTAGGTCTAGTACATGCAAAAAATGAAACAAAAACTTGACCGAAAGCTACAGATTTCCACTTTGGAGTTTTTAATAAAGGGCAACAGTTAATATCAATTGCATTTTCTTCCTTAATTTGTGTTTATGTGGCAATAAAATTAGATTAGACACAAATCATTTTAATACGATTTTGTTATTTAAATGACTCCAAGAAACTGTACCTGAACCATCAAGTCGTGTTTTATAAATTCCCTTTTCTGTACAATACATAAAGCCTTCAACTGGATCAAAGTCAACGGCGATTCCCCCAGGAAGACTGGTAAGTTCAGTGGAATTGAAATCACCTTGTCCCGTCACTTCCTCAGTAAAAACCAAATTGTCAGTCCGCAAGAGCACAGCTAAATATAGGCGCTCATCTGATTCTAAAAAATAAATGGTATTTTCAGTATTAGGTTTTGGATCATTTCACTCTTAAAATAATGTTTTATACCATAAAGAGCAAATCCTAATCGTATCTGAAACAAACAGTAACATAATATGAAATATTCATATTATTGGACACTACAGTGTACATAACGATCGTTCCAATATTATGTTGCTGTTCTTGTTGGTATTATTCTTCTCCATCACCATAAAATCGCTTTTCTCTTCGAATACTGGACCAATTGCTTTGAAATTTTCAGGGGTTAAAGATTGATTTTTTCTCCAGAAGGCTATTTCTTTCACTCATTTCAAACATTCCTGTGGACTTCCAGAGATTCGTTTTTTGTGTGTCATGATACAAAAGAGCGACACCCTGTGGCGTGTCCATATATTTGAGCGTAGCTCTCTTGTATATAAAGTAGACATGGTGGAATAAGCATTTTTGCTTGTCAAACGTGCAATATAACTAGCAGATAAAATTCTGACTTTTTCACGTAAACGCATTTTATATTTAAATGTGGAGATGTGTTTATGTTTTTATAACTGAATGCGTGATTTATGGTAGTATCGCACGATGAAGATTGCAGACGGAAAAATATACTAATTAATGTGATTAGATGGGCAGTTGAACTATCATTGCACTCCCTCCTTGATTAACTTTGGTATGGGAATTTAGGTTTTGAGTTGGCATGATTTTCTCTTCAGACGAGAGTATTGTGTGAAAAGTTGGTGGAAGTAAGAAGATTACAATATTAGTGTGTAGACGGCTGAGAAATATTGCCTTAGTTACAAGTATCAAGATCTGATCCCATCTACTCACCAGTTTTATTTGATTGTGAGTTCTTTATAATGTCGACGATTCGGCACACGGTGATCAACATTTGAATTACCGGACTCTCTTTTGGTACATCGGCAAACTTTTCCTCGCACCAATCTGGAAGGCGATGCAAAAAATGTCTATGTTTAGTAATTAACTCAAGAGCATCATTTCGTGTCTCTTACATAGTGCTATTCTGTATCGACCGGTATGTCTAAAAAGGCGATGGCCTATAAGTTATCAGATAGAAGTAGTGGATATAACTCTAAAATTGTGTTTTGCGTCACTTATCTCCTCAAGACAAACTTTTTGTATAAAAGAAAATGTAGATTGAAAAAAATCTAGATTGGAAACAACGATAACGTTACCTGCATATGCCAGAGAGGAAACTCCCAACAGCAATACAAAAAGTACTGGAACACTCGAACGCCCGTGCATTTTGTTAGGTATGGCCTATACTGCTTACCTATGCTAAAATAAAACATCCGACGTCGATAAAGTAGACAAAAAATATTTTTGCTTATTTATTTTTTTTAAAAGATCACATGCCAAATTTATCTATAATATAGGCGAATCATATAACACCCGATTGCATGTAAAAATGATACGTCTACTTAAATTTCGGTATAAACCTGTATATATATGAACACTGTACTTGGATTTCACGATGTAGAATGATCCCTCGTAATTTTGAATAAAAAAACATGCGGCACGATTCGCCTATATTCAATGCGATCCACTGTTAAAATCAAAAATGAGTAGGTTTTTATAGTTTTATTGCTTGTGCAGATGCACATTCATATGTTATTGCTAGTCAAGCATTGCCAAACAGTTCAAAATTGAAATATCTAATAAAATGTACCACGAAACACATTTTATCGACAGAAGACCGCATACCTCAATTTGAATATGAATATACCGCTATGAGTTTATACTGCAAAATACCCTATTACTGTAACCCTTAGCAGATTATTATGCTATTTCTGTTCCATTGCACGCAGCACCTCGCAATGCGACACATAAATTTATACCGGTTTTTGAAAGAAGTATTTGATTTCCGATTGCTCGGGGCGAGAAACGGCAACCACAGAGATTTCTTATCATAAAAGTAAAATAAAAATGTAAGAAAACAATTTCCCACAAATAATAACGAAGCCTACATAAAATCCCATGACGAATACTGTAAAAGCACCTCAGCTGTCGAAATAATGAAATATGAATAATAGTCGATTTTGGGCAATTATAAAAGTTAAATATAAACGTTTAATTTGATAGTCTTTGAGCGCGGCGGTATGACGTGGCCCGCCTGTTTTTCTTTTTCAAACTCGAACATGCTACAATCCATTATTTAGTAATAAAAGTAACAATTCATTCAGTTTTGTAAAAAAAGCTCGATTTTGCATAAACATCAATGGCCGAAAATGCGACGTTCTTTTTAATGGAGGAATTGCTATATATATGGAATTTTTAAAATGATATCTTGTGCATAATCATACTTTGACCAGATCATATTCATTATAATGATAAATAAATGATAATTCAGCATACGAAGATTCTGCTATGGCAAAGTATAGAAAATTTGGTGGAAACGTCATCTTAAAATTTGCCTTGTGGCGCTATCATTTGCTGTACCAATGATATGAAAATTTATTTTACCTATGTTACAGGTGATACACTTCATACTGCAGAATTATAAATCTATAACAATGTAATTCAATCAATATCGTTATTTTTACGAGATTTAATTTAAAAAATTCATGACTCAATTTTCGAAATTGGGTATTGAGTTGGCGATTGCTTCGCTCTCGATGCATTGTAATAAAAATCCCCTCTGTAGTTATTATGCTGTACAATAATTTCCTGATTGTGATACGCTCATTGTTTTGAGTTTGAAGGATACATTCGATAGAAAAATAGTCACTAACTCCTTCGATTTAATTTTTGCGATTTTTGTTTAGAACTATATATATTCCATGTTTAATCTGGAACACTTGATTACTGAACAAATTGAACATCTGCCGACAATCTGACAAATTGACGAATAAAACTTTTTACTTTTATTATCGAAACCTCTTTAATTAGGTGGCATCAAATAGCAGAAATATACGTGAATTCGAGAAACACACTATTACTTGTTGCACAAGGCTGGCAACATACGCCTGTTTTGGTAGGTTTGGGGAACACCATTATATTTCCGCATTTGCACCAAAAATAAACAGAAGATTGTGACCTATGTAAGGCAATAGTATTGGTGTTGTAAATACTCGACTTATAGTCAAAAATATTCGCCAATAAGGTTTTTCATGTCATACGTTGATTAAAATGCAGTATTTAATGACGAAAACAGTAATTTCCGGTAGAATCGGATATGAAGATAATTTTAATATAATTTATGAGCATATATATTGAGGTGACGTTGGAATAAAGTTGCCCCATGGAGACAAGTACCTTATTAAAATAAGGTGATGTCCTAATAAGCAGGTAATATCTTGCCTATTCAAAGACTGAATGTTGAATCGTTGGGTCGAAATATTATTAATATTTAAGACACAGTATTTTAATGTGTTAAGGGAAATCTTCTGTGGCGTGCAAGCCCATAAAAGTATATGCGATCATTGATTTGCAATTTTGGTACTTTGATGCCAGAGGCTGAAAAAAGTCTCCACAAAATTGCACAATTTTGTAACACTGTAAAATGTCTCGCATAATTTTCCGAAGAAATCACCGATTTAGACAGACATGAATAAGGTTGAATTTATCACTGGCTTATACTTGTATGCTGATAAAATTGATACAGAGATTCACATGATCGTATCGCTGCGTTTATACAGAACTTATTATCCTTTTTTTTGGTTTGTTGCAACATAGCTTATTCACGCCTACGCAAAACTTCATTCAATTATAGTCAAAAAGAAATGATGTAATCGATTTGATATTCTACAGCAAAAAAAAAGAGAAGATAAAACGTCATTATAAACGCTACAAGCAAGTAGGGGGTTACCATTATCTCAACAACTTGCAGTTTTGGCATTTATATTACAGATATTTTATAAAAAAGTGAACCAGATTCGGATCTGAACTATTCATTTTCAAAATTTTAATGTGAGGTATCCGATTTCGATAAACTTTATAAAACTACAACCTCATTGTCACAGTACTACATTAATATGAAATTCAATTTTAAACGAATTTTTCCGTGTAAATATTACGGTCCACGTAAATTGAGATTACTTAACGTCGCTTACCTAAAATTATTGCGATTCAATGACTTTTTAATCTGATCTGCATAACGAAAACAGCTCCTCCGGTGGCCGTTATACAATACACAATTACACAATTCACCCAATGCATCATACATTCTCTTTTGATAGCACGTGATGTTTTTCACTTCAACAATATAATATATATATATAAAACCAATAGACAGAGGCAAAATAATAATGACTCAAATATTAGAGCATTAGCACTTTAAATGTAGCGACGTTACTGAGTCACGGTGGTGCAGTGACTCAATGCTTTTGCATGTATTCAACCTTACTGCCGACGTCATCTTCTTTTAGTTGTTGACAGCCTAGCTTTAGTTACAGTTTAGGTGATAATAAAACCTGAATGATATCAGTTGTACTCTCACAGAGAAATCAGAGTGGATTGATCTACTGTTTAATGATCGTGTTCAGGGCATTTGTTTCGAGTTCTTGCTAAGCTTGTACTATTTGTGATGGGTGAGAATAGAGTGGTCCTATTGGCTTGCAATCTAACTGTACGACTCCAATTTTATTTTATTTTGCTTACTGTATATAATAGAGATAATATTATCATTGTGATCATTGTTCTTGAAGGCTCTATAGTTGTTCAACGTTTTCATTCATGTGTTTAGTCTGTTCTAGTTCATACAGAAAATGATTTATTATCACACATGCATTTCAAGCTATATGTGACCGCATCTGGCTCTTTCTAATTTGTATATATTTCAAACAAATTACGCGGAGTTAGGAATTTTCTTGGTTTTATGTAACGTTACTTTCATTACCACGCCTTTTTGTTGCATTTTAGGTACCGCACCACTGGAAAATAAACGTACATTACTAAGTTTCTTTTAACATTAGGTCCATGCTGGTAAAACTCCCAATTAAAGTTCATGCCCATTCTATAATTACAGATGACTTTATTTTTATTATGCTCTATCTCAGTCTAATTTTACGATGTTCTATTCCACGTAAAGTATTTGCATATATTTAGTTTAAAACATAATGGTTAATTTATATCATCCAATCAAAATATGAGCGTCGCATGCTTTTTGGACACAAACAAGTGACTCGTTGTCACGACACTTAATACTCTGATGCAATTGTTATAACGGAACCATGTGGATAATGAAATTACTCTTCATTATAGGTAAGACTGTCTACACTCAAATTTCATCTTAATCGACGTAGGGTTAGTAGTATATCACAGAATTGCATCAAGCAACAAGATACAGTTTTAATTATGTGAGATAAGACAGTTTCAATCTTACAATTCTCGCTACTGTGGTTCATGTAAGTCCGATTGCAAGCTTTTACCACCAATGTAATAAGAGCATTGATTGCTATATTGTAATTAAATAAAGCACTTAAAGCCACCGCTGCTATTTCAATTGCCTTGTCACAATTGGTCTTTTTAACTGTCATCTGGCTTCGTTTCTTGATGGGTTGATGTACAAGGCGCGTACATGTGGTAGATATATTTTTGAGGCGTTTTCTAACGACATCATCAATAATAAATTTATTTTGTTCAACAGGTTCCACTGCTCATTGTATTTTCTCTCATTACGTGGATTTGTGTGAAAGCCAAACAGGATATTTCGAAGCGGAAAATTCCACTTCACCGATTTTAAAATCGATTTCTCTATTTTCTGGAAAATGTACTTCCAGAGAAAATGCGGTTATACTAATTTTGAAGGAAAGTGACCTTCTAATCGGGAAGCCCAATTACCTTACTGCCTGTGATGGGTCGCTCAATTTTATAACGCCAAGTAATTACTAGATTTTTGTGATCATGACCTAAATCTAAACGTTCAACTAAATAGGCCGTACTTTGCATATACCAAATATGTAGAATTGTGTGGCCAAATATAGCAATAAATGTTGGACTTCAAGCAAAGTGCTGTGCTGAGCATTAAAGCTGTAAATTCCGACAAAGTCAACAAATTTTCAAGGGGTTATTCCATTACTCCATCATGAGATTTTATTTATAGATAAAGAGAAAATTAACGCATGAAAACTAGTCAAGTTCGCATCTTCCGATGAATTCGTTTTTAATATATATATATATATATATATATATATATAATGGAATTAATATGAAAAATTCAGTATTTTAAAAGTCAAATTAACCGGCGTCTAATAAATGACTGTAAATGAAAACACAGTCTGCTCTCTGATGCATCGTAAGTGATAAGTCTCCTATTTCCATGTTTATACTTTGCAGGCATGGCCAAAGTACAAGAGCTCTGCATGTTCGAAACAGGAGTCTGCATAGCACTTCTGCCAAAAAACAACAATTGTTTGAACAATGAAATATTACTTGGCTGCAAAAGTATATATTATATACCTCAAGATAACATATTCCCATTAAATATAAGTTATAGTAAAAATTACACAGCACGTGATCACGGTTTCAAAATGAAATATGCTCTAACATCATGCAACATATCGGAAACAAAAGTTGTTGGTGAGAACACTTTGTACATAACGTATATATATAAAACACGTGATTATTCTTCAGATTTGTAGCGATTTTGATTTATCAACAAGTGCCGCATTCGCTATCTTGTTTATTCATTCTCTTCTACCAGGACATTTCTGTGATAAACGTTTCAAATTCTTTTCTATAAGCAATTTATAATAATCAAACACCTTCCAACTTTGCATAGGTCAAGATTTATAACCCGTCAGACTATCGCACTGAACACTAAGTCATATGATGTCTTCTCCTATATTGCATTATTTATCATTAATGGTTTCACTGATACACTGCATTATTACTTACCAATTATCATTAATTCAGAACTTCATTCGACGACACTCAAGTCTACAACGCAAAATATAATAATTTATGATACAACGTCTGTTGCAGCTGAATTTGGAATTCTGTTTGGTATTACGTTGGTTCTCTTTATTCTGACATTAATAAAGTGAGTATTTAATAAATTAAACGATCCATTAATTAAACCTGTGGTACACGTACCACTATTGGTACGCGGAAAATGATCAAGTAGTACGTGAGCAGCTTTGAATTATTGCAACAATTAACTTTTGAGTTGGCCAAAATATGGCGACAGCGCTTTATCTTCCATACTGTATGTATTCGCTAAACGGCCTTTATGAATGAATGTTTCCCCAGGCATCAATTTCCTTGTTTTGTTTCCGTAACCAGCAACAATCAGTAAATATTGTCTCGTTTTGGTAGTTTTGCGTGTTATTTGTCAGTTTTCGGTTGCGTTTCAAAAAAAATAGTTATGAATTAAAATGAGGGTTTTAAACACGTAAACCAGCTTATAAGCGCCAACACAACAAAACACTCTCAAAATAAGTATGAAAATTTTTGCAATAGTGAAGTATAGGAAGAATTATTCTGGGGTCAAGGGTCGGTGAAACGTCTTATGGACCAGTCCAGTCTTTAGATATCGCCCTCGCCTGCTATTGTCCACGAACGAATCGAGATGGGCATGTTTTCGTCCATCTTGCAAATTAGGTCACTAAGAATGTAGTGCCACATTATAAAGTACTCCCATAGCGCGTGTCTTATGCCATTGTTCCCCGCGCCAAAAAGAGGTTTTTCGGTGGTACGCGGCCAGAGTGAAAAAAAACAGTAAAGTGGTACGCAGTCAGTAAAAGGTTGAAAACCACTGTGATAGAGGAACCCGGTATCCTGCCGAAACCATGCGAAGTACCACACAGCGAACCAAAAAAATTTGTGCACAGATTGCACTGTTTGTCTATAAAAGTTCTCGCAATATTTGAATAATATGTTTTCGAGGTTCGCATTCTATTTTAACTACTATAAGGACAAGTCTATTGTCTTTAAAGTGCACTTATCGCTCTAAAACTTATTTAACTCGTTCAATTTGATATTCTTAAAGGTTGTATCAAGTTACCAAAAGACTGAAAGGTGTTCGTAGAAGTTCTATTGCTACCATAACTGCCAACAAAGAAATGAATTTAGATTTGAAGAAAGTTGAACCCTGTTCTGTTCCGGCAAGTCCACCAAAGATCATTGTGACTACAGAATTATAATCATAAGGGTGGTAGCTGCGTATTGCGCTGTGGACAGATAGGCACATCAGGCCACATCACCAACGGGTAAAGCAAAATACAAATTCGAGTAAACATAACCATTGGATGCGATGCCAAACAACGAATTTCAGATTTTTCGTCTATTTCAATCTTCTTCGTTTATATTCAATTTTGCCTGTTAGTTTTTTCTTTCGCAATCAAACTGTGAATTGCTACTCTACTATGAAACTGTCTCGGGATATTATGAACTACAATGTAATATCACTGTTAGTGAAACAATATTTTGCAGAATATATAATTTTTTCTATTTTATTTGCTAAAACTTGCAAAAAATATTTTTATTTTCTACGTTCCTATTATTACCAGACAGCGTCATAAATTTATGTAACTGAATCTTATTATATACCAACGTGTATTTTCAATACATTTAAATACAAATAACTTAAAGTTATTAAAATCAAATTATTGTGTGACCTATTTAGAAATTCATATGCCTAGAAATGCGGATATTGTAAAAAAACGAAAAACAATTTCGAATATTGTTACATATGCTATTTTATATACAAGTCAAATTTCCTGAAATGATATTTTACGATATCAGTATTTTCTAAATTTTACTGCAGTTCGTTCTCTATCTTTTTCTTCAATATATATTTTAGTGCAATACGGTGTTACTATACGATGTTGAAATACTTTTATAAAACTACCTGTTTGAACTCGCGTACATGTTTATACTGTGCAGAAGACAGAATTAACCAACAATTTTGATGATCTGTGATGTCTTATTTTCAGAAACTGAGGTTGCACATAAATTTTGTTGTGTTTCGTTATTTGTTTAATAACATTTTGAATCATCTATGAATGTTGCTGTTATTGCGAATATGTATTAAATTATGTGTTTTAAAAAAAAATTTATTCTTGCTCCACTTAAAATTTTTTACAGCATTGTAAAAAATGAGAATAACGTTAAAAATGCTGACTTTTTGACTTATGGGATTAATCGCTCACGATTCAATTTTCAATCATTGGAAAAAGTTGTTACCATTCAAAATTAGCCAGTGTGCCATAAATCTCACTAAATAATGTAAACACCGGAATTTTGTATATAGCCAGCACATTCCGGGCCAGATCGTTAGCCAGTGGTTGCAGCAAGAATAAATCACGGGCGTGATGTGCATTAATTGAAGAACACAAAGACACAGCAATAGGCGGAAGAAAGGGTTGAATTGCTACAATTCTATTGAACTAAGGCCGTAAAATGACGAAATCTATATATTTTGCAATTTAAACTAGGAAAAATCCTATTTTTGTCCGTGTACATTTGTGTATAGTAGTATTACAGATTTAGCGATGAGTGTCAGTCACTGTACATTTTGCCATGTTTTCAATAATCAGAATTGAGAGTTTACTGTGTAACCCAACTATATTATTTCAATAAACGCACTAAAATCAGCTCATACATGGCAAAATGAGAATATTTATATTAAGCGCAACTAGGTTTATGTACTGGGCCCGGTTAATTTTAGTGCAACGCAATCGGAAACGTGGGCCAAAGACAATCAAAATTAGTCATTCAAAAAATGAAAGTGCATATCATTTGAAACACAGAAGGGTATGTATGAGTAATGGATGAACGATACAATATATTATTATTCTGTACACTGGATATAATGGTCAATGATTCATGAATAAGGACAGATTTTCATGCTAAAGTATTACCAGAATAGAGTAAGAGTTCGGTGTAGTTGTTGATAGTTTGTATAAACACTTAATAAAAACTTGATTATGGACTTGAAAACTCTTCTGGTAATCGGTAAGTATTGCATATCTTTCAATTTTTGTTCGAATACTTTGAGATCTGTTAATATTTAAACGGTATGCATAATTTCATTTTTAACAATTTTTCAGTCAATATATTCGGAAGTACCTGTCCGTTGTATATCGACTTATGCAGACAGAACAACGGAACATTTGAAGACGATGGCATACCGACGCTATCAGAAGTTTCAACAAGCCTATCTTTTTATCTTCAAAACTGCACTATGGTCAACGAAATTCTAGTTATGGCACTTGATAAAATGAGTCTAATACTTGACAAACCCGGATATCTAACCGCATGTGGAGGATTGCTCAATTTTAAACTTCCAGGTAATATTTTGTACACGATGTAATATTGCTTTTTTCTGTTTTTGTATTTTTATTCTTGATTTTTGATTGTTTTCAATAAAATTTTATACCCAGACGAATCGTCCGTCAACGAGCGTTTTTTCGTTCTTTTGCGTCCCTTCCTGATCATGTTAATGCTACTACTTTAATTTTAAATTGTGACAAACTGATGTTATTTGATTTATCATGGAGTGTGGACTGGATCGATTTTTTTTTATTCCAAGAAATATAACTTAACGACTTTAACATTCCAGGTCACACTTCAAGTCTGGAACTCTGCATGTTTCAACAAAACAGTTGCATTGTTTTGATGTCGAAAAGAGTACAATGTAGCCAGTATGAAACCACGATAAAAAGCCTCGGTTGTGGAGATGTTTTTGAAATTATAAACGATGTCATATTGCCGCTGAATATAACTTACAAAAAATTTTCAACCGGAGATATATACAGCTTCAAAATGACATATCTGCTAACAAGATGTGGTTCACAGGATGAATCAAATCAAGGTAATTAAACGTAAATATATGAGATATCATCTGTATATCATACCCTGACTAGGATTAAAGATAAAATTGTGATGAATCAAGTTTATGGCATTTCCAGGCAAGTGTTCAGGATTTTCACTAATAAAAAGAAGGGATTCATTCTGTATCAACCTGTGTTTCTGCTGGGTGGTAAAAATGTTTTAAGATATCAAGTATTCTTCCAGTCTCGAGGTCTTTCAACTCTTCTATGCCTTGTTATGCTAATTACAAACCACTAAATCTCTCTGATTCAGGCACGGCAAGAACTGGCGAGCAAAATGAAAACTATACTGGCGTTATATTTGGGATTTTATTTGGAATTACGCTGTCTTTCTTCACACTGGTCTTATTCATGTAAGTACTATCTTAAATGCCGGTATTGCTTATGAATAAGGGTTTTGTTTGTTCAGGTACGAAAAGTCTGTCCCGCTACATTTCTGACGAAAAACTGCCACAGGCGTATAATTATATTTTGCAGACTGTATCGTTGGAAAATGAAAAACAAAAATACAGCTAGTAAAAATGTTGGAAGTTCAGGGAGAGTGATGGACAATACTTATTCTATCGTTCAAGGTTCCATATCTCAAGTCAGAGGGGAGTCAGATACTAATCAAAATGAATTAGAAAACAATTACAGTGTTATACAAAAACAAACCGGAAAATCAAATATAGCTACCTCCAAGAAGGAAATGGTAGTTAATCAATTGTACCACATGTAAAAATGTGAGATTCCTGTCTTACTTGATCATTGCTTTCCTTATTATCTATATTTATGAATAAATATGTATAATGTAAGTGTAGCAAACCGCCCTAACAATTCCATATAGCTTCCAGGGGAAAACTGGGCTAACAATCGTCCGTATGTATTTCGGTATTTAAACTTGTTACGTAAATACTAAAATTTCAGAACTGGCTAAAGCTTCAGGCTACTTTGCCACTCAATCATGGCTATGTATTATTAAAATTGTTAAATTACCAAATTGAGTCAACGTTCATTAACTGATCTTGTCCCACTTATAAGTATTGTACAAAACATTTTCTATCGAAGGCTTAACTTTTTATGCTATGAACAATATCATCAATAACTTTGTTTCTGAGTTTGCAATGTACAGATTTTTAATGTTACAAATATATTGAATCAAATTATTGGACTTTGTTATATATATATGTTATTTTACGTTGTTGAAAACGATAGCCAAGGTTGATTTGATTGGGTCATTGCCATCGTAGAAAATTAACTGTAGTTTGCATCACGAGAGAGGCTATTTATTTCAATATTGCAAGCATGTTCGGTAATTACCTGAAATAGTGTTTAATAAATGGCAGAGACAAGGTGAACTATTTACTCGGATACAATGTACGACAAAGTGAGCCAAAAACTACAAAAATCTTGGACAATCGGAAATCAATTTCTTCCGACATATTTTGGGAAATTCCAAATCTGGTGCAACTATGAATATCTGCCGCCAGAAGGATTAGCTTAGGAAGTTAGGTACTCGTTGCAGTGGATAATATCGACAACTAACGAGTGGCTAGCTTGTGATTGTTAAAACCAGGTTACTTTAATTGTGTACAGCTCTATCCCAATACGGGAAGTTTAATATTAACTAGACGAAGGGGTGATATTTATTAAGCAGTTAACGGAAAGAAATCTTGATCTTTTTCTGTAAAATAAGCAAGTTTGAATAGGGTTAACAGGTCGTCAATTTGATTTAGTTGGACAAAGCTTTTCTGTTTCATCTCACTGGATGATCGGGATGAGATTCTCTGAATGTTTTGTCGTTCTTATGATATTTTGTGGGCTGTCGATGCGAAGATCAGCTGCAGGTAACTAACTATTAAAATGATGATAGATACAGTTTTTGTTTTAGAATCAGCCGAAGGTGTGAATTTTACCCAAAATTCAATCGTAAAAAATAAAGAACTTTTTTGAATTTTATAGCTACTATCATCACGAGCCAACTAAATAGATTCTATTCAAATACCCATAATCCCATTTTGACTATTCCAATTGATTTATATATAGCCTACTAAGCTAACTTTTGCGATCAATAACACCAAGTACATTTTCATTGGCGCTTCATCAGTATATGACTAGCAATATTTTTCACACTACAGCTCAATATCCCCCGTGTGATGAGATGTTGAAGACAATTTCAAAATCTAATCCAGTGTACGAAATGTTGTCTACTTTATGCGATGTTGTCAACATTGTCGCCAGTAATTTTTCAATGTCTGTTTCTGATCCAGGTTAAGTATATATATATGACTCCATAGGTTTCAATGTTTAGTCAATGTTTAGTAACTACAAATATTTACCATTTTGGAATTTTTCAAGAAGAGCTGAAAAACTTAGTGAGGGTTTACCGGGTTGGTTTGATGACGACGGCGCTGTCGATATTATGATGTTGATTAAATTAAACCATGCATATTCGAGACTTCAGGTCATAAAAGCGCATAGCCACATTAATCGGTTATTGTAACAACTAGATCTGATTTCAGAGCAGTGAGAAAGATGCGTCGATACAACACGAGCAGAATAACATGCAAGACACATTATGTTTACCATTAATATAAATAATTAGATCCAAACAATTTACATATATTTCTGTTCGTGTTTTATAGCGGACAATTCCAATTAAATTCTAATGCCCATATTACAATCTACAGAAGCAAGCCGCGATGAGCGACTAGTTGTGATCACAGCACTCAAACACGAAATTATTGTGATGACTGAACGTATTGCGGGAGAAAAAAACTTCAGTGTGTTTAAAGTTCCCGGCATGCAAGACGGAATATATGTTGATTACGATTCTGTCGAGGGCTATGTGTATTGGGCATGGGAAGGGTTTCATAAAGCAAGACTTGACGGAAAAGGTAATTTATTGATACCGTGATAATTTTTTTGGACAACGTTCACAAATTTTGCATCTTTCAAGAATACAAACACTTTATGAATGCAAGTGAAACGTGTGAAGGTTTGGCGATTGATTGGGTGGCGAGAAATTTATACTGGGTTGAATATACAAACAAAATAAAAGTATCGCGTATGAACGGAAGCTTGCAGAAAACATTGGTCGGTGCGGATGATTTGGATACACCAAGGTAGGCAGAGCAATGTTTAAATTGAAAAGTTGATTGAATTTTGTACATAAATATGATTATAATTTTTCTATCTCATTTAGGGGTATAGCCGTTGATCCATTGAGAGGAAAATTGTATTGGGGTGAATGGGGTTTCAAACCAAGAATTGCATCTGCATGGATGGATGGGACAAATTCAAAAACATTGGTTGACGAAGACATTATGTGGCCAAATGGGAAGACATAATTCTAATAGTTTTTAAATTTAATAAATAAATTTGAAGTGCCACAAAACAGCCTACTGCAATACATAATACTCTATACCAGTGGTTCGTTCCCTCCTGGCCCACCAAGGGAGCGACAGAGCAGTTGTAGGAGGCCACCATGCCATGCGCAGAACTGATTTCACTTTTTTTATACCGTCCGTTCTTCCTAGTCTCATTGCTAGATAAGCTTATATCACAGAATGTTTTCCTTTTGTTGAGCATGAAATTGTTTGAACATAATGGGATTCGGAATTTACCTATCAAAGTAACACTATAAATACCAATGGGGTGATAAACAGGGGCACCTTGAGTGATAAAAGGCTCCAACAGAGGGCCACGGGAAATAAAAGGTTTGGGACCACTGCCCTAAGCATTGTAGTCTTTTCATTGCATAAACAAATTAGATTTTGTTATATTAATTATGAAAATTTTTACAGGGGGAAAAAAACATCACCCAAGCATTAAAACAAAAATCACCATAAATGTTTAATTTTCATTTGGCTTTTGATCTAACAGCAAATATTTCAGACGTCAATATTCGGATTTCAGAACTGGAAAAGGTTAATTCTGTTTATGCCCACATAGCTTGGTCAATATTCACGGTTACCATAACGACTTTATGTATTGTGATTGATATTTTAAACTGTTTTTCCACAACAGGAATTACATTAGACATTGAACGGAATGTAATATACTGGATTGATGCTAGGTTTAATACTATATCAGTCGTCAACACCGACGGCTCTGGTAGAAAACAACTTCTGTCGACATCTTCATTATCTCAGAGGTCTCTCCTATTTGGAATAAAGTTAGTTTGACTTACATTTGATCATTTTCTACCAAAATTCACTTGGGGTGTGATGACCTTGTTAATAATTTATGACTATATTTGATGATAATATTTGATGACTCTCGATGTAAACCTTTATTTCATGGTGTTAGGTAATAAACACCTGACCCGAAAACAATGAAGTAACAAAAGATTTGCCTTTTCTACATTTTATGCATATATATACTAGGAGTTATTCATCGAAATATGCTGAGCCGGACTACGAGGTCTAATCATCAACAAAATTTGATAATTCAACTAACATTACCATCGTATCTTCAACACGAGTCTGAGTTTCTCAACGGCGCTGAAAAACTTCACGTTAGGAAATGCTTCTATGAAGAAGCCATTTTTGCCTTTTTCATAACAAATACGTCCTTAAATTTGAAAATTAAACTCTTTTTCCTCTGTAAAAGCTATGTAGACAATCACATATATTGGACTGACTGGCTGAAAAGAAATCTCGAAAGCTTCAACGTGAATACAAATGAGACAAAGACCCTTCTACATACCAACATTCCAATAAATGGAGTCAAAGCTACGAAACTGTACCCCCCGCCAGGAATTACAAATCAATGTGGGGTATTTAACGGGGGATGTTGGCATCTTTGTCTTTATACACCCAAGGTAAATAACAAATTTTGAAGATTTTCTATTCAAAAAAATATAAGATTCTATATAGTTTACTTTGACCGTTGAATATAAATAATATGGTTATATTGTGCAATTATGTCATCATATGCTAAATAAAATTCATGCTTCGTTGACATGGGTATACTAAAGGAAATTTATCCAAGCATATGATCGCAATTTCTTGTCTAGATAAAGCACTTACCGAATTGAACCCGAGTAAATTGTGGGAAGAAAATATTATTTTAATTTACCATTTTCGCCAAGTATATTTCTCCCAATGTTTTAGCGCTTTTATGTTTCCTTTCAATCATATAAGTAAAGTAGCATTAATAGCATGCCATAGAACGTCGAAAGGAAGATATTCAAACGTGCACTTTTCATAGGGGCCAAGCTGCAACTGCGCGGATGGATGGAAACTCGATGAACACGGAGCATGCACTGAAACTGATATTGTCGTTTAATAAAAATTGGAATATCGTAAACTGATTTAACTACTCTTTATAACAATGGCTGTATAGAATTGCAACTTTAAATGGCTTATTCATATTTGTGCAAATACTTATACATTTTTTTCAACCACAATATCATGTCTGTGTTATATTTCATTTGTATTAAACGGATCATAGTACGTGATAATAAATTGTGCATAGATTTACTAGATTTCAAGGTTTGTTTAGTTGAATAGATTTTGAAAGTATCAGTTATCAAAAACTAAGAATCATTGCTTTATACATCTTGGTAAACAGACGCAAATACTGGCACAAAGTACATGTATTTTTGTCGCCCACTTGCTGGTCCTGAATAGGCTTCAGAAACTACTGAATGACGTACTCTCACCTCAATACAGTAACAAAAAATGCTTATTCGAAATCATGCAAATGATTTACTTCGTGATCTTTTTTGCTGCAACTGACATACAGGTCATTGCACTTTTGTTTTTATATTTCATTATATTCCACGTACTTTATTTAACTCATATACTCGAACCATATGACGTTGTATCTCATGACAACTCAAATTTCGCTGTTGATAAAAAAACAATATTGAAACAATAGAGTCAAGCAGTACGAACTTTGATCAGGCCGTGCCACTAGGTTCCAATTACTCTCCCAATTGCATGCAATACGAATCAATTCACAGTCCATAAACAACAGAAAATCAGTTTTACATAACTTTGAAATAATTGTAATTTATATCGAAAAAAATGGCCTTTTGTTGTAAGATACTGCCTTTTTTATTAGGTAGGTAGGTAATAGAATTTAATGTATATTTCTTTAGTGAAACGTATGTATTAGAACAGTGGTTCTTAAACTTTTTAAGCCACGCCCCTTTTTAGAGTTTATCAAGTCCCGCATCTCAAAATTACTCAAAAGCAAAATAACAATAAGCTACGAATAACAGATAGATAGTAAGACGGACAGATGTTTTATTTGAAAAACACGTTAAAAATCCTTGGATGGAACGTAAAAAATAAAACAAATGAAAAGTTTTGATATGTAAATATCAAAATTAAGGCGGGCAAGATCAAATTTGTTTGAGAACCACTGTATTAGAATGTAGTTCATCAATTGGTCAAGTAGTATTGTTTTATAGAAACGATATTGGGTTTCAATACCTGGTACGAGTTTCCCAATTTAAGTATGAGCGGAACTATTTGTCAATCTTTTTCATAGGCGAGAAAAGGCAATTTGGCATGCTACTGGAGGAATTTATAATAAACAAACAAACATCAAAACATCATGTGATTTTGACTCTCATTTTTCATTTCTGAATAAATTTCGTATTGTTGGCATTTTTGTATCTGATCGTTATCGATTTCTACATAAAAGACCAATTCAATTTTGAGAACTTTCATAAAATTTTAGTGATGATCTGTGTGAATACAGAATTGAAAGATAAAAAATGAAACTTCTGAGTTGTAAGTCAATTTAGCAGAATGTATTTACTGTGATTGAATCTGTAAGACTGTGAATGTAAATAAATGTAATATCATCTTGTGAGTGTAAACATATGTATCAGAAGTAAACGCTGAGCACCCTAGCACCTTACTATACAGTCATTTAGCACTTGATGTGGAGAGCCGCAATATATCAAACAAGTCAGCTATTTGTATTCCATTTATGGATAAGTATAATCCATAAGAATATTAACACAGAAAGAAAAACAATAGCACAGAACTTCTGGAGACGCTAGAAACAAATTTACTTTAGAATATTTACTGTAATACGTTACCTTTACCTATATTGATGCAGAAATATCCAGTGCGAGATTTTCAAAATGTTGCATCGAATTTTATAATAAATATAACTATTGTGTTACAAACGCGTTTGTAAAAGATATAAAGTTTTTTGTAAGACATTGGACACTTTTTATATACGTCCGCGTTTCTCAGGTATTTATTTTGCTTTTTTTAAATAATTTTAACAGCTCATCCATAATTAACTGAATCGCAATTGAAGTTTGAATAATTACTGATTTATTTTTATTAGGTTTAAGACATCATAAGTAAACAACATGATGTTATATAAATTTATGGTCATTTTGGTCATGATGACTTTGTCAAAGTGCGACATATCAAGGCCAAGTACGAAAGTGTTATCTCGGTTTGAAATTGCAGGCAAGTATTCATTATTAACTATTCGTGGACTCGCACTGTCAATCAAAGATTAATTTTGAAAATTGAAAACTGCCGATAAAAAATTTCAATCATATTTCTCATTTCATTTTGCAGTTTGAGAGTTTAAAAAAAATTCGACAATTCATTTCATATTCTTAATGCATTTTTTTGGCCATACTACAGTCATTCCCAACGCTCTCATGTAATAACAAATTTCTCTATTAATTTTTTCAGAAATTACTAGAATAGCGGAAGAAAATCTTGTTCATGAAATGGAAAATGCAATGGCCGACGAAGAAAAACCTCGTATGTATATTGCACTTTACGTGTAAAAAAATATGCATGATTTCAATTTCGTGAAGTATGATGCATGGGAGTTATAGGCATTAAATTATTGCGTACCTCTTGAACAAATTAACCGTCAAGGCATGATTCTATAAATTCTACGGTGTGATCTAATCACTTCTAGTCATGGTTATATTACTTTTTATCATTATTTAATATTATTTTTACATATAATTTATATTGTAAATATTAATGTACAAGAGAAATTTCACTATTTTGAAAATAAATGATTGAATGAATTTTTCAATATAATTTACAAATTCTCAGCAATTTTTGTGGAGCAGCCGCCTCCGGATGCAAGGGCGTATGCAGAAATTGAAACAATTCGGAAAAATATCAGCCGGAATAGAGATGTGGAATGCAATATAACAGCAGGATATATATGGGAGTTGTGTCGCCCAGTGCTTTTGAAAATTTGCAAAGAACAATACAGGACTAGATGCAGAAGCAGGTATGTAACATGAATATGATTGACCAATGGACGAATTAATGGTTGGAACCATGAAAAATGTGTTGCTAACAGCTTTTTCTCTTTTATTGTTCATTTTGTGAGTCAAATAGTCTTAGCCAGAGATTATACAAAATCATTGGATTTTTATTAACCTACGTAACAATATACTGCTTTAATTCAATTCATTAACAACGGTCAACGTGGTTTCACGGTATCGGCAACGGCTAATATTTGATCGAAATATGGTGATGTTTGTGTTTGGGCCATGTGCAATTAGATTTTCTTCATTGTTTACTACAACGCAAGCGTATCAAATGTTTCGGTATTGTGAAAACTTTTCATTTTAACGGCATACATCTCGATATGTGATTATTTACAATTAGTCGTAACTGAAAGTAGTTTTACTGTAACTGATGTAATTCATGATTGGTTAAGATTAAGTGTTGTAGTTTCGAATAATACAGGAATACTGAAGATACCAAACACTACCTAGATTTGTTAAACAAATATTTTTCTTTTTCTCGTTTTATTATTGCTCCAATATTTGTTATTGCTCTGAATATTGCTTTGTTTGCAGAACCAGTCCGCGAAGTTTCCGATCATTCAATCGAAGACTTCAACGCATTTTCCCTATTTTCCGCCCACCGGAAATATTCAAACCTATACCACTCGGTGAATGGTTTGAAAATCAAATTTCTCACCTCAATGACGCAATCAAAAACTCAAGTAATATTCAGGTAACTATAATTCAAGAAAACGGCTCGGTCAGAAGTAGGTCATCAACATTTTCAGAGATATCCCAAAATAATTTTAAACCAAGTACACTGCTTGCAACATGCTATTGTGACATCATAAAATTAAAAGTGAGAAAAACTTGCCTCATAATGAACAAAGTAAGTCACAACTCTATTATGAGTGGAAGTGATACAGAGCGTTTAAAAAGCGTGGATGCAACCATATATATTTTCATTTGATGTGTAAGTATAAGAGTCACCAGTTTGTTAAACGAAAACTTCAGATATAATTTTATACACCCACATAATTCAACGAACCTAACGATTCTATAATTCTAGTATACTCAATTGTTTTGTGTCATACAGGTCTCATTGAAATAATTAGACGAACTCAATTTCAATGAACGTCCATTTTCTCTATAATTAATTTCAGTTTACTGTTTCCATCACAAATAACAACAAAACCCACACATTCACTCATGAGGATGTTGCAGAGGAAATTGAAAACGTCACAGATCAATTCCAAAGATCAATGAACCGGGTGTTTGGAAAATACAGGGTATATTTTATAATCATTAAAATCTTGTGTTTCTGAAATGCAATAGGACTCACTTGGAAGTAATAAACCTTGAAGTCGATTGCGAGTCTTCTACAGTACGACACTTTTACATTGTTTAACTTTAAGGTATATATTGCAAAGTTATCTTGTGACCTGAGGTCCAATAAAGGTTATTTATTGAATTTTAAAACTGCCAAAACTCAGATAACTTACTGCGCAGTTTGGCTGCAGCTTGATTAAATATAAAATACACTGTTCACAACTTTATTTACACTTTGGAATTAAATGTAACTTGCTAATTTATGATTGAAAGTTCTTTTTTTGTGTTCAATTTATTTTCATATGTATTTATCATGTTAATGGATAAATTGGACTTAAACAAAACACTGCTGTTTTATTACAGAATCTTCTCAGAATTCCAGATTTACCTGCTCGAAGATATCACAATCGTTTCAGAGAAAGAGAAAATGAAGACTTCGGCGAATGGTTACAGCGATTTCTTTCTAGGATCACAAAGTGAGAAATGTTTTAAGAATTTTATTTTGCCCACAAACTTTAACGACAACAACACATGTTTATTTTGCCACAATGCAGTCAGCCATGGTTAATATTCATTAGATAGAAATAGCATACAGTTTTAAGTTTATATTAAAATTATTCTCAAGTGATTACGACGATGAAGATGACGATGATGAAGATGACGACGATGAAGATGACGACTATGAAGATGACGATGATGAAGATGTGGAAGATGATGAGGTTATTGAGAGGATAAGATTCTCTGGAGCAGAAACTCGCTCTGAAAAGTCTCGTCCTTTTGATCCTTCTGTTATCCTACCTAAACGTCTCCCTAAAAAAAGTAGAAATTTTCCAAGAAGAAAGAATACTAGACACAGAAGAAGCCCTCATCGTGGATATTACGGAAGGTAGGCAAATCAATTAAAACAATCAAAAAAATATTTTTTGGTTTAGATTTACGCTCGGTATACAAACTGACAAAGAATGCCGAAGAGAGCTAAAATCGACCATAAAAAGTATGAGTTCAGCAAATTAATAGAAATGTTAATACAATCAAAAATATTTTGTCATAGTTGGTAATAATCAACGGTAACAAATGCATAGAAATAGGATTACCCAGTTTAATTTCGCGGTGGCGGATGAGCTTTTTTTCGACGGGTATGGTGTACTTTAATATGTTAAATACTAACGAGCAAGCGTTTCATTATTCTAAATGTTTAGACTGGAATGGCTTATACTTGTTTCCATTAAACTGCAATTGTAGAATACAGCCGTACTCTTTCGATATAATTATAACTATTTTTTCGCAACATTTAATTGCCGATGTTTCTTTATTCAGAGAAAGAACATCATTCAACCCACATATTCAGTACGCACGTGCACCGGTAGGTAAAAGCTAACAAAATTGGAAAAAAGTCCAGCTGACGGCTCTTCAGCAAAAATTCTCTCTAATGTTATTCATTAAGTACGACACTTATGTTTTGTTACTTTTTTGTTTTGTAGCAAAGAACTGGACACAGGGGCAATTATCAAAGCAATTTTATGCGACAACAAAGAATGCAGTAAGTGATAAATGCTTCTCAATATATAAAATTTATAAAAAAAAATGTACAAAAAGGCTAGAACTTATTTTCAGATATCAGCCTAACTAAACAAATATTTACCTTTCTGTAATATTATTTGGAGAAAAATATCAGAAATTGTATAGAATAAATTTCGAACTGTTTTCTTACTAACAAGCCGTTCATCTGGCAAAAAAGGAAACGCTTAAACATTTGAAATTAATTTCAATTTGAATTTGCTTTTTCATAGATCCAGGGAACCATGGCGCAACTTTGCAATGCCACACCCCCGCATTGAGTCCCATTTACCACCAAGGTTTCCACCAATTTTTCCGAAAATACCACATCATGGAACGGAATGGCCTAGGTGGCATCATCCAATTATGAGAAAGCCAGAATTTCCGAGAAAAGAAGGTAAGACATAAAAAATAAGAGTATAATACGAGATACCATAATAAGCGATAGAATAATATAAAATTCTATATTTATAATACTATATTACAATACTATCGAGTAGATACTTTAGAGTAAAATAGCTTTGTTAACATTGAACTTTGACACAGGGAGGAGTATTTGCTTAGGGGTCAAAATTGTTGATTATGGAAGATTTTGTCTTACTTACTCTTTTTTTATTCAGTAATATTACACATGGAAAATTTCTTCAATTCTGTATTTCTAATTAAATATTGAAGATTGTAGAGCCATGGCATAAAACAGGTTTATATTTGGGGGAAAATTTTGAGTTCAGAATCAAAACTTTTGTCAAGTTGTTTGCTGTTTAGAAAATATCCCAATGTCAATAAAGTTTAGTTGTTTTCTATTTTCTCACAATTCACATAAATGTGTTCTTCGATTGAACATAATTTAACCAAATTCAGTATTCAAACGTAAGCCAACTTGATACCAGATTATGATGATAACAACGAATCTACCTGAAAAAACAAAAATCCCTATAAACTGAATCATAGAGGATCATTTGTTATTGTTTACATTCCATATTTTATTGAGGAATGATACGCTCTATATTTGTATATTTTTAGTTGTTAATAAAGCGATAAATGGTAGTGAATTTTGCAATTGAGCTTGAATTAAACCAATCTCGATCTCACAGTAGTTCACTGGCCCTATGATATTCACACTATAATTCCTATTGTTACTTCTGCTATCACAGACATTGAAATATCTTGCGAAAAAATTGAAGAAAGTCCTGAAGTTTGTCTCGAAATTGCAGAAAGAACAAAAAAGTGTGAATCGGTGTTGCAAAATGGTAACGTTATATTGAAAATAACATAGATAAACGTTTTATTTTATAATGTTATTCATGAAGATAAGCAATTACTATATCGAAAGATCAAAGCCATACCCAGCAACATTTATATATGTACTCTTTATCATCGATAACAACATTTAAAATATCTCCATCTTAAAATTTTACTCAGTTTGTCCCAAATACATGGAAGCACGTCGAAGAATTTCTGAAAAATTGGACGAAGTTATTTCACAACAGCATCAAATTACTCACGTTGTTAGAGGTGACGATAACGATGCAGAAGAAGTGAACGAGAATTATCGATGGGAAACTCAAATCAGTGGAAAACCATCCATTGTTATAGAATCTGTGAGACATTTTTATACGTGCTACCTGATTTTGCATTTATTTTTATAAAAGTGAAATGTTTAAACAGGTTGAATTGTTGGAACTATTTTGAATAAAAATATAAATATCTGTTGAGTTTCTGTTGTTGATTTGTTGTTGCATATTCGTACGTTACGATATCAACATTGATTTTGTTAAAAAATTGTTAAAAAAAGTTTTATCCCAAAGAAGTAAACAGAAATGTATATTTTTGATTAGTCTTTGAAGTTTTCTAATCCTAATTTATATCTATCTATTCAATGTAAACGTCCAAAATTCTGAATATCGAAACATTGCAGATTCGTATCAATCAACGTGGAACCCACGATGCTTACGTCATCGCTAAACTGTCTGACAACACTAAAGTTGAAATGGTTGTCCCTGGCTCTGATCACGATATATCGGCTAAATCGCTTGGAAAGGCAATTGGAAAAATGGCTTTCGATTCATACAAACGAAGGTTCGTGACTTTTATCTGATCCGCTCATCTGACTTTGTTACACAAATAGAGAATCACATATTTAAAGCACCTACTAAAATACCACTATTCAATAGTTATCGATCTCTTTCATTAAAAGTTTTTCTGTAGTTTATAATTTTTGTCACAATGAAATTTGCCATTGAAGTTGAATTGAATCGAAATGATGTTGAATGAGTTCTTTTTCGAGGGGTTCTAAAAAGGTAATCAAATGAAATAATTATATTATGTTTTGTTATTAACAGGGGCATTCAGAGACACAAGAGACAATAGTTCAGATATATTCAACATCGGCAACAAACGACATCATTTCAGACATTATATACAATGATCATCAGCTCACCAAACTTCGACAATGCTTCTACTATATAAAACGTAAAGTTATTGGTTGTGATTTAAATAGTGATTCAAATTAGTTATAGAAAACATTAGTGTTACCAAACAACAAACAATTAGATGTTCTAGATCAGTGTTCTTCAACCTTTTTGTTATTGTGGAACCCCTGATAAAAATTTTCGTTTTTTATGGAACCCCAATCAGAATTGAAAAAAAAACACGAAATACTCGTAACACGAAAAGCTGAACAACAACTCTATTTTGTAGTATATACTCTATCTAGTCTCGAGCAATATTCACAGATCCTGAGTAATTCAATAAATAGTCTTGCTGCGCATTGACACAAATATATTTCTGTAACGTTTCGTCTGACCAAGGTCAAATTTCATCAGACATACATATTTCAACTAAAGTAAGAATGTTAAATTATATTCCCAAATTGCTATTCTTGCTTTAGTTGAAATATGTATGTCTGAGGAAGTTTGATCTTGGTCAGACGAAAGGTTACAGAAATATATTCGTGTTAGTGTGCAGCAAGACTATTTATCGAATCACTCAGAATAGTTATCTTCACTCTTGCTACAGCATCCTTGCATTATATGCATATGGATCCACCGACGCAAAAGAATAGAAAACGAAAAAGTAGTTGGTCTTGTAGAAACCCAATCAATATCTACATACTTTGAACATCATGTAACTATGGTGCAACAATAGCGTTCTTGTAAGTTGCATAACAATGACTAAAGTAACGAAACAACCGAAAATATTTCTGTTTTGTCTATTAACTGCACTGTGACTAAACCTCCTGTTTAACGAATTGGCCTACTTGGAGTTTGGATGAGACACGGTGGTCTAAAAATATTCATAATGACGCATCAACATGCTGAAGCAAGAAATGACTTTCCATGAAAAAGAAAAACGCGGAACCCCTGAGGAACCCTATAAACTCACGGAACCCCACTGCATGTATTGCGGAACCCTCGGGTTCCGCGTAACCCCTGCTGAAGAGCACTGTTCTAGATATTGTTATATATATATATGTAGAAAAATATTGTGCTTGAGATTTTTGTATGAAGTTTGATATTTTCAAACTCTCTCGATAGTATTTTCAAAATGTAGGTCACGATGAAAATATTTTCATTTGCAATCATTACTTTTTATGAATATGAAAGTTCAAAGTTGAAAGTCCACCATTTCAGTACGATAATAAATAGTTTCATGACTCATTTGAACGAATAGTTAATATATTATTATTGGGGGCTGATGATTCGGAAATGTTCAGGTTTCTTCTGAGCTACAATATAGGAAAGGATCTAGGATAATTTTTTTGAAAACATCTTTTGCCTACATATTTTTTACAACATAGATTATACAAGGAACTGCAACCCAGTGTTACGTCCGAATGAGAGTGATATAATTAACATATATTTACCAAAATATGAAGATGTCTCTAATATATTATATGTATTCACAATTAAACTGCCAATGCAAAATCGTGAAATACATCCAAGTGAAATTGCCAGATCTAAGGCCAGTATGCTCCAACTAATTACCAACCAAGAAGCGAAACAGATAACTAACTGTACAAGTTGTGCATAATTTAAATGGTTCACATTTTATATGTGAAAATTTTTTTTTAATTCACACAGATATAATGTCGGCTACTCTAACACGCCAAATATAATTTATAAATTAGTTCTAGTGTGAAAGAAAAGGAGGCAACCAAAAGTTGGAGTTGTTTTTACAGTTTTATTTCACTTAGCTTTAAAATTTGTCAATAATATTCAGTCAGAATATAAAACATAGTCCATTTATGGACAGGTATTTCATCTGCCATCATGGACCATATAACAGTACATAACAGTAACTATCTAACAGTACATTTGGTCCTATAGTTAGGAACTAAACTCAGACCATGTGGCATATATGCTTGTCGAGAGAAAACAGCAAAACAAAAAAAATCCATGATTGTTATTTTTCATTTTTTATTCTGCAATATTAAATTATTTATGTGTTTATGGGCATTAGGTAAACTGATGATCTTGAAGATTCGAGACATTTTTTTCTCTGTCAGTAGACCAGGATATGAGCATTTTAAATTTATTTGGTGACAGAACGCGGCTACTCCAGAGCATATGTTATGCAGAAGATGATGCTTAGTTGAAAATAAGGTGAAAGATTGAAGGTGAAATAGAGATAAAGAAAAAATTTTACTCGGCTGGTATTTTTGGCACAGAAAATAGAAAAAAATGCATAGAGCTACTTCGGCTACATTTCATATTTTATGATCAGACTCGATGTCTATCTCTCATTTGTTTCATGATACATTGCTTGCACCAGTTTCAGTGTAGTTATCTGAGGTGGAGAGGAGAAGCAACGATTTATTGGAAGTTAATAGTAATACGGCTTTGAAAGTTTACTTTAGTCGGAAGTTTGTTTTCTACTTTTTTTTTCCTATAAAATGTAAGTTAAAACAAGGATCGATGGGGAGTAGTTCGTAATATGCATTTTTTTATACGATGAGGCCTGATATCAAAATCTAGCATGAATTTGTGGTGTATGTTCGCTTTAATTTCACATTAGCTTATCAATGTCATCCCATTGGGTTGGAATTTTCCCGCGAGAACGTGTAATATACCGCATTAGAAAAGCGTAACAAATTTCCATGTCGGAAGCCGTAAAATTGCAGGCATTTAACGAATATCCCACTGCGACATGGTCGAAAAAATATTTTCGGTAAGATTCTTGCATTTCTAACCCTTATATTCAATTAATTATGCAAAAATTTAGTGAATATGGGCGGTAAAAATGACCTTTTGTTTATGTGAATTATAGTTACAGTTAACATTTATGATTTTGCAAATACTAAGGCACTATATGACCATGATGATCATATTTCTTTGCTGTTATAAAATACAATAATTACAAATATGCAATAATTACAATAATGTAATGAAATAGCATAAAAAATTCTAATAATTGTAAAATTGGTAGTTTTCCCTTTTCTAATATTTGTGCTGTGTAGGGTGTTTATTGTTTGGGATTTCCAATTATTTCACTCCACGACCATTGCCAAGTTTTCATTGTCAAACGTCAAAGTACGGATGCCATATTGTAGCCAAGGGCAAATTTGTAACCGACGCGGCAGGTGGTCAGCGTGTATCTCGAGTGACGTTGGAGTACTCAGCTTAGCTTGTGTCGATGTAGAAAAACAAACCATGATTATTGTACAGTTTGTTGTCTTTCTGGAACTTGGATGGGTACAGGCCAAGTGTTTGTAAGAGACGCAAACTATCTAAGATACGTCACATTGTACTTATCTGTGTACATATACATATATAGTTTTATTTTTTTACCGGATAGTAATCGAAGAATTTATATGATCGAAATGGTAATTGAACTTGATTACAGGTTACAAAATGAATAAAAAAATAAATAAACGACAGACTTGGTTGCGTGTTCGTGCGCTGGGCAACAATTAGCAGCTAATCACGGATAACGCAGAAGCATTTGTGTTAATTAAAGCACAATGTGAGACTAATTATACGGACAACACAAAGGATCTAATCATATTCGTTTCGGTTGTTTGTTGGTAATATGATTAGCATTCAAGATGTGTAATTGAATGGCACCACGTAAATTATTATGATGAAAAAGTAGGCCTATTTTTACCTCATTATTTTTATTTTTGAGTGATAACTTGTTTCCAGGTGTTCTATTTTCATGTTTCCAAAACACTATTAAAGTTAAGGGTAATTCACACATAACATTTTAAAACAAGGATTTGTCAAAACCATGATAATCGGGTGAATTTTCAAGTAGTTTTACCTTCAGAACCTATCCTGCCAGAGACACAAGGTTTACATAGGATTTAATAGTTATATATTCATCTTGCCTCTGAATATTCTTGAAGTTATATTGCAAGTCGCATTTCAATCTGACTTGAATCTTCTAAAGTTATATAGTCTGTTTGTTTGAGGCCAATTATGATCTCGCCTCGCGAGCTTTTTTGGTGATGATATTCAGATAGGTTGTCGGTTAAGTGACCCATAATTCGAGCCTGTCTTGCTTGTCATGATCGTATCGAGTCTGAGTGTCTCATTAATATTAATAAAGGTCGCCTCAAAATCTTTATTTTTTAAATTTTTATTTGAGAGCTTTGAGAATTGCGAGTTTGGACTGCATATATCGTACTCTGGCAAATTGTGTTTGACTCAAAAAACAAAAACAAAAAATGTGTAAAAATATATAACAGAGTACGCATAATATTGAAGCAAAGAAAACCAAGGATTACATATTGTATTGTGATCAATGGATCGGTTCATACTAAATGAAAAAAACAACGTCGTCGAAATTTCTTGTAAATGATAGAGTTAAAGCATTCTACATACAGACAAAATAATATGAATTTGGGCTTACTACTGTGGTATTAATTTCGATATTATTTGGCAGAGAAATCATATTTTATAAATAATTGTTCTGGTCAAATTTTTACAAATTAAATCGACAAATAGTCGAATACTAAATCGACATATAGTCCAGATTGAAGTCTGTTATCAAAATAATATTGTACGTTGATCTCTGCTTATCAAACACATGTTCATCTCAAGCGGCCCGTTGACAAAAGTGCTAACGCGATTACGTTCACGCCTGATTAAAATAACATTCTTCAAATCTGTCAACAACTAATCATATTTAATGCCTAATTAAGACATCGATTGCGCAGATAAGCGTAAAGATGTAAGACAAACAATGGTAGTTCACGAAATAAACATTCAATATGTGGTACGTATATTTCCCATCGGTTACTTGACATCAATTTCAGCTGCTTTAGCATTTTATAAGATGTTGTTAAATCTTTAAAAGTTCATTTTTTTCACAAATATATGATTTTGTATAAAAACCGTCATGTTTATCATTAAGTTGTCAACCGGCTCGCATTTTAAAATCAAGACCAGTTCTATACTGCATAAATAATGAAATCTAATTCATTTCTATTTAATTTAAAGCACTGAGAACGTACAATAGTGTACGCGATCTGTTTAACAGAGTTGACGACTTAGAGTTGTGGTTTGAAAATAATAATGATATATAGATTCCAACTCAAACCCAATTGATTTCGGTTCTTTCATTTTAAACCTAGCTCCGCAGTGCAAGTTATGCATATATGTGATATATGTATTATATTTAACATGTTCTAATGACTCAAATAGGTCCAGCTGGTATATGTTAAAATGGTTACCGTACATTTGAACCCACGTACATTTGAACCCATGCGTATATCCACGGGTTCAATCTATATGCGGGTGCTAAAACCCATGGGTTAGGGTTAGTATGGGTTCAACTATCCGAAAAACAAAAAAAAATCCATAGGTGCAATAGCATACAAGTGCAATTGTCATGGGTTCAAATGTACGTGGGTTCAAATGTAATGGAACCGTTAAAATAATCATTTACATTAGCGTTTGTCAAGTTTTTTGCTGGTGCGGCGTCAAGTTATCAGGGAAAAAACTCACGGCGTACTTACACGACAAAAAGAATACTGCTGACCTCAAATAAAACTCAATTTTGTGATTGTTAATGTGTAAATTATGTCTCTAAAATTGTGAACATGTAGGCCCAACGAATAAAGGGAAAAGGTCAACTCTTCTTTTTCATCTCTGCCTGATTTTCCTTTGAAATCTAAAAAAATCACTCATGCAGATCACAAAATTTCAGCAAGTAGTGTCTACCTTGATTGTTACGTAACAGTTACGTAATAAGAAAGATAGACACTACGCAACAGAAAATAAATGTCATAGAAAGGTAAAATGGATTGATTGTTTCATATACACAGCATTTAAAATAAGAAACAATAAAACTTTTGTAATAAATACAATATGCAATATATTAAATCATATATTAGTTATGGTTGCCACAATTATGTTAATTTTCGGCGCGTACTTAGAAAATCTCCCCTCCTTGGAACCTCTGATTTACATGATAGAATAACATGTGGGCTACATCATATTGTCTCGTGTATTTACTTTTTAGAAATATTCCAAGAAAGGTTCCTTGAAATCATACCCAACGTATTAGTTTCGTGTTTCAAATTTGTTTGTTCGCGGAATCATTGAAGTAATAAAATTGCAGTTTAAGATAATTATAAATCGCTTCTTCAAACAAGTAATTATCTTTCATGTTCCCCAAGCAATGAAATATTGCACGATACACAGGAAGGAGAAATAGAATTAGAAACCCATTGGAAGTGTCATTTCCTTTACGAAACGTGTGTGAATGTTTACATGATTTTGTAAATTTGCTATCCAAGATTTGATATTGGGTAATGAATAAAAAAAAGAATCGCGTAATTGATTAATTCGAATTCGCAAATGATTGTTCGTAAATCTTTGTATGAATCAGAAATTTAAAATGTTTTTATACTTTGCACCAAAAGCGACTAACTTAAATTTAATTGAAAGTCCCTTACAAGCGCGTAAATTAAAAAATTTACTATCATATTAATGGATTTTGCATTATTGGCGTTGACAGCTTGTTAAATACACCAAAGCAACACAAATTGCTTGCTTGTAGGTTGTCGGTTCATTTAGAAAACTATTTGAACAAAAAAATTATTTAATTTTTATTATCATTCAATCTTATCTATGTCATCTGGATTGTTTATGCAAAGAATTCCTTTGACAACAGACTACCATCTGGTATTTGAATGCAGTAAAACGTCGCTTCGTGGATGCTTTTGTTCTTGGTTTATATTTGAATCCCATGAGATATGCATTTTAGTCTCTTTTTATACTAATATAAATATTAAGCTTACAATAAAAACTTGAATAATATTATTGAAATTTTTGAAAACAAAAATCACTAAACTATAATATGACGCCATAAGAAGTCCAAAATTTTTTTTGTAATTGGCCATGCTTGTAACGAATCTGTATTTATTATAAAATATAACTGTATGTTGCATTTATTTCTGATTTGTATTTCCAAAGGATCGTTCGGGGTCATTGCACTGTACATTTTCATAAAATATTATTACAGATATTCTTGGAAAACGCATTTGTATATTGGGCATATAAAATTATTACCCCTCGAATATGATTCTCTCAACAGACATATTATTAATCAATCAATTAGCACGATAATTAGCACTCTAGATGTTATTTTAATATGACAATCTTTCTGCAAACATCGAGGCAATCAAATAAAATACCGGGTGCGTATACGAGGTTTAAAATGGAGTGCACGCAGAACATGCATTCGAGTTGTAAGCGTGTGCGTAAGACCCACAAATCGGATTTCTTCAAGGGTTCTTCGTTATTCACGTGCTCATATGGATTATAAACAGTTGTCATGCGGAGTTGTTCAGGTTAATCGTTTGTCTTCTTTTTATAACAGAGTAGTGTATTATTCAATGCACAAGCAGAGAAGACTTTGGGTTATTCTAAGTGTTACATTTAGCTGTGAGTTGCATAAATGAAATATTATTGAAGTGTAGCAAAATTTTTAATTTAGAGCGACATTATTAGCTTAGCTTGTGCAATGATTACATGGGAATGAATATTCGAACATTTACAATATGTGTAAACAATATGTTGCAAACTCAGATTCTAGTATGGAAATTTGCAACTTCGTCATTGGAATCAGTCAGAAGTCTGGACGTTTTTGAGGAAATTTAAAATCAGAGGTAATATTTTTAAATTAGACAGGTGAGAAATGCACAGTCAAAATAATCAAAGACTACTTCAGTACTTATTGCTCTTTTTCAAAATTTCAGATATTGTATACAGTTAGCTTCTTGAGCAAATAATTCACCTTTTTGCTTTGCTACATAACCAAATTTTAGGAAAATATATAACGCTTGAATAATAAAATATATTGCAAGTTTGACATATTCATTAATAATTTAATATTTCAAATGTTCAATGTAATGGCAGATGTAAACATGCAAACAAAATAACGGAAATTATGCGGTTACAAATAGAGACATAACGAACAAAACAAGTAGCCTTAAAACCGTAATTAATTATACAAAACATACAAAATTCTGTACCATTTACGTGTGCCGCATTCGAACTATGCCAGAATTTAAATTTGAATTAAAGCCAGAAAATGCACCAGAATAGTATTCGATATCAGTGAAATACTGACTTCTGACAAAGAAATAAAATTGGATGCCATCGTTTTTTTTTTTCAGGACAAATTAGATATATATTTTCCAAAATTTTAGTAAGAGATAAATTAAAATAGTTAGATACTTTAGTCCTGGCGACCATCACAATTACAAGGGATTTCAGGTTTATTTTCAAGTTTAAAAGAAACTTTTTTGTGGAATTCGGTGAAAATGATAATATTTATATTTCTTTTAAGGTAAACAAAAATGCGCGACATCTGCTTTCTATAAACCGTTATGCATTTCCCAGCAGGAATTATATTTACAGCGTGCCACATAGAGCAGGCGCACAAACATCCGTATCCTCTGATATGTGTTTGTTCTTCGCTAATACCAGATTGAATGATATTAAATCCCGTAATCCTTCATACACGCTTTGTTTGTTGATTAATATATCTATATAATATGATACCCAGTCTGCAGCTAAACAGATATAATTTAGTCATAGGCTTTGCGGTTGTTTGACTTTATTCCGAAACACTTGGAAAGAGACACTAGAAAGAGAAGCATCGTATATTGAACATGAAGAAACCGTGGCGAGATTGACGTAGTTTAGCGAGGTCGTTATTTTCAGCATCTATTGAATTAAAATCTGTTTGTAACTCACTCCGGGAATTTTGGCAGTGTAGTTGGTTATCAAGGCTGTTTAAGTAAGTCATCACATGTCAGAAATCTTGGATTCAGTTTGAATCAACTTGGATTTAACAATTTAATAGGTAAGTCATGGCGAACTAGAAAAAATTGCCGGTATGTAATAACAAGTCGTAAATGTGCGAAACGATGATTAACTTCGTGCTCAGCTGTAGGATAGCATGATTTCATTTTTTGAGTTTCATTTAAATTGTCGAGTCATTTATCAACGCACAAAAAGTAGATTAATCAGGTCAGTGCTTTTACTCAAACCAATGTACAGCAATCCTCAATTTATATATTGACCTTGCCTATTCAAAGATGCCTTGATGAGAATATATTTGACAAGAATGTCATATACGCCGAATAATTCAATTATGCATTGAAGCGAGAATGCATTTTATTCCTCCGCTCATGGAGTTGATCAGATCAGACAGAAAATCTATTGAAAGTCTGGGATGCCAAAGTATAATCTTCAAGTGGAAAGGGTTTACTAATTATAAGAAGCAGCATAATAAGGTTTAAAGCGCAATATTGAATACCATAATTCCATTAGTCAAATTTATGTAAAATTGAGGCCGAGATTAAACAGAGCGTTTTATTATGGACTTATGTATGTACGTTGAGTATGGAGAATACAGTTACATATTTAGGTAATTTTTTTGGCATGGTGACCATAATTGCAGATCCTTTGGACAGTTAGTCATACAGAGTTGAACCAAATAGAAATTGATGTTATCTTTTTTTTTACAATTATATACTATTCAATTCTACAGGTATCGTTCTACAAGAATCATGCCTCTTCATAATCAACGTATATTGTTACCTAATAATATTTACGTTTGCTTTACAGATATACTTCAAAATGCCACCATATTTTTTAAAAATATATGTACTATTATATGTAATTTTTAACTTTCGTTTATGCGTGTCATCTCCTCCAAGGATAAAATTGGAATTACATGTCGAAGAAGAAACAATGCGAGGTAAAAAGCAGTTAGTTGCTGAAGTTGGTTAGGATTATTTAAGTAGAAGAGTGAAATGGCTATTCTTATATTTATTTATATTTTCCCTTATTTCAAAATGCTTTCACCCATACATCTTGCTATGGGACTATTGTTGCGAGTTCATGGCATCTCTGTAAATTTTAATTCATTCGAAATTATTATTCATAGCGACGTAAAATCAGACCGAATAATACAGTGTTGCATCATTAACGAGAGCCAATGACGGAAAATTTGTGAAAATAATTTTGACAGTGTTGTGAATTTGTGCCCAATAGAGGGTGAAATTCTAGATATATCTACGTAAAAATTTTGTACATTTTTCAATAAAACAATACCACAATTCTTATTATACCTGAAATCGTTGCCGAGTAATTCAAAATTACATTTACGGAGGTCATAAATTTATGCTACCCTATAAGAGAATCGATTACTTCTAATTTGATATTGTTACTGCAAAACAAGCAATGCGATCCCTTTAATTACAAACTATATAATATTTTTAATTTCAAACAAAAATAAATTTGATTTGGTTCATCATTATTCGAGAATTATTTCCATCAGTGGTCAGCAATATATATCAGCTTCCCAAATTATCGCAGACGTCTCTTGGTTTGTGACTTAAGCTTATCTCATTCATTAAAAGGCCAACTCTCTTTATTCAGGACGAATATTGGCAGAAATCGACCCACTTGTCAACAAAGACATTTCCAGTCGAATTAATCGAAAATTTAGAATTATTTCACAAAATATTCTGTCGAAAAACACACTAGGAGCAATTGTATCTAACAGAGCAAAAAGAATTGAAGTGCTAAAAATAAATGAAAAAACTGGAACGTTGCGTTTATCACAAACAATCGACAGGGAGAAAATTTGTCCATCAAGTGCTGGGAAATGTATGATCAGAGCTCAAGTAAGTTTCTATTTGTAACCTAATAATTTATGTGAACCTTGAGGTTTATTTATAGTCACCACATTTCGAAATCGACACTGATCACGTGATTTATCACACAATTTTTATCGTATGATCGGTTTCACACTATATATAAATATATTTGTGAGCTTTTCATATTTTTCAATTTTAGTTGCCATACAATACTTACAACCATATAACATAAGATTTATAATCCAATCACTGATTATTACTTTTAAAATTGAAAAAATAAAAATGAAAACCAGCAACAACTTTTAATATTGAATTCAAGTGAAATGCGATTTTGAGCAGTTCTACTTGTACTATGTAAAGATTGTGCATCAGTCGTAACTATGAAAACGGTCTGTCTGTCTGTCTGTCTGTCTGTCTGTCTGTCTGTCTGTCTGTCTGTCTGTCTGTCTATTAATTAATTAGTGATGGGACACAAGTTGTCACTATGGAGTAATAGCGCTGTTTTGGGGATCCCCTAACTTTCGATCGATAAGTCTTCGGTCTCTGACTGATATTCTCGTTCAATTCATTATACACTAAAACATATTGCAAAAATCTCTAAATGCTAAAATCTTGAAAAAATAAAATATTCATAAATAAATGCCTAATTTTAATTTACAACGTTGTTTTACTCTACAGATTGTTGTTTTACCTCAAAAATATTTTCAACTGATTGAGACTGACGTCACTATCGATGACGTCAATGATAATACACCTACATTCCCACATGAAATTTTACACCTGAATGTATCAGAGAATTGGTCACTGGGTGAAGTTATTAACTTGGACTCGTTTCAGGCAAAAGACAACGACATTGGTAAGATATATTTTTAAATTAACACAATAAAACTACAGAAAGTTCAAATAATAAGAGGTTACTAAAATATAAATTGTATTTCAAATTAAATCAGTATTATGATCAGAAATAAAATTGCTGTACACGATGATCTTTTGTAAATGCAAGGGTGTGAAATATTGTAGCAAATTTACCATTCATTTTATTACTTATGGTGTACACAAGGTCCAAGTATGATCATCAAATAATGCGTGATTCAATAAACTGAAGCTGTCAGGCCTAATATGTGCGGATAAAGGCATTATTTATTATTACTAACTCGCTATTGAAGCATTGGATTATGTGTCTTTTTATGTCGTCACAGCTTACGACATTTCATCACAATCGAGTGTTTTTATGATTCAAACGTTTTTTTTTATTACAGGTAACAATTCAAAATTGGAGTATTCACTCTCACCAAATCCTTACTTTGAATTGAAACATTTTATTGACAACAAAAATTCTTCTCACCTGCAGTTATACCTGTTAAGAAAACTTGGTAAGTCATAATGAAATTTTATGATTATTGCTTTTCTGGAAAATCTGATTTTTACTTATATTTTATTTTATTTGTAGATTATGAAGACAACCCAGTCATAGAAATGAAAATTGTAGCTTCTGATCTTGGAATTCCTTCACTTAGAGGAAGAATGGATCTCAAAATACTCGTTCTCGATGTTAATGACAATTATCCAGTATTCGAGGAAGAGGTAACCTAAATGCATGTTGTTAATATAATTATTACAAAATTTGTAAATATATTCTTTTACCTCAATAGCTAGATTATCAATTCTTTAATAAATTTCTGATTATCAATTTCTAGGAGTATTCAGCCACACTTAAAGAAAATGCTTCTCCGCAATCCACAGTAGCGATTCTCCAAGCCCACGATGCTGATAGCGGATTGTTTGGTGCTGTGAGATACTATATTTCTTCAAGAAATAGTAAAGAAATAAAAAACCTCGTCAGAATAGATGAGATTACAGGAGTAGTGTCGTTAAAAGAAACAACAGACCGAGAAAATCATAATGGGTAAGGTTAAAAAATGTGATATTGCAATATTCAAATAAAAAACATTAACGCTGAAAAAGAGTGAACGAATTAGAAAATTTATTGAAATTTATTTAAAGTTGAACGTTTCATAAATGCAATAGTCAATAATAGTAGTTCTAAAGACAACCAATAATCATTTATGTTATTTCTCTTTTGATAAATATGACATTTGTATCTAAAATTTACCTGGCAAATAAGTTGGGGATGAAATAAGTGTATCGTAAGTTGTGCGTGGATTTAGACAATATTTCATTCTCAATTTTGATCTACATCTGTTATTTATTTCTCTAGTCTTCGCGTCTTAGTTGGGGCAATGGACTTGGATCCCATGAATCCAAAAACAGGGGAAACATGGCTCGTTATTTATCTGGAAGACGTCAACGACAATTCTCCAACAATAAGTATTGACTTCATTTCTCAACATTCAGAAAAGACAGGTAATATTTTATTGAAAAAAAAAACCGTTCAGGTGTATTTAAAATAAACACAAAAACGAAAAAACAAGTAGTTTGGACATTCAGAAGCACAGTAGTATTATTATATATTTTTTAGTTTGTTCAGAGTATTTTGCTCAATTTCAGCTTGATTTGCTCAATAAATATATTTGACTAAATTCATTGATCTATTCGATTTTTATTATTCGAATTACAATAATTTATATTAATAACCACGCCTATGAATAATTATTTATGTTTTAAATTTACACTTTTCTTATTTCACAATTTATCTAGTTTATCTATCGGAATTTTCGCCAAAGGGAACGTACATTGCAAGGGTTTCTGCTACCGATTCTGATTCTGGCGACAACGGGAAAGTAAAAATGACTCTCACCACTAAAGTCGAATGCCGAAATTTGAGAGGTAACTGATTAAGTTTTACTGTCTATATCGTTTGATTTCTAATTTTTGTTACAATTTTCTAATCATTTCCTCCTACTTGAAAAATATATTTTCAGACGATCATTTTATTTTATCAAGTGGCGGATTCTTGGAAAATAATTACTCCTTTGATCGGGAAAGTTGCAGCAAATATAAAATCGTTATAAATGCTTGTGACCATGGAACACCTGAATGGTATATTTAATATTTTAAATAATTGTTTCTTGACTGTTGTTGAAAAATGTAGCTCATACATTCTGCAATAAAGAAATTCTTCGCGACTTTTGGTCGCGACTTATGAAATGTTTATTGTTTCTAGTTTTTTATACATGTAAATTATATTTTTATTATCCTCGAGTTGAAACTGTTATTTTTCACCAGGTTCTATTTATTTTGAATTTTTTCCTTTAAATGAGTATTTTCGTAACTTAAAAGCAATATCGCAAATCAACTACAATGACTCACTTTGTTGTTTACTTCAGTAATACATTGTATATATTGTGTAGCTTTCAGTGTGAGCGTGAAATAATGGGCAGGCTGTCTTTACATAAATTTATATATTGTTCAGGTGTTCAGAAGAAACAGTCACCGTTATAATCTTAGACGAAAATGAGGTCCCGCCAAAAATTCATACTCCGTTTGAAAGAGTAGTTCTGAAGGAGGATGCATATTTGGGAACTGTTGTTACAACTATTATAGCGTCAGATGCGGATGCAGTGAACGGACCTGGTTTCACCAAAAATGAGGTAAGAAATATTTAGCTTGTTTTGTAGCTATGATAGTAAAACAGTAAGATTTTTACACAGCAAATTATCCAAATTAAAGTTATTATAAATTTGTTTTCTTCATATAAATATAAACTTAAATACTTTTCAGAATGATGACATTATTACATCTCGAAATGGAGAAATCTTTTTTTCAATCGTGGACGACAACAAAGTTCCGTTTACAATTGGGAAAAAATCCGGAAAAATTCGGCTCATGTCACAACTAGACAGAGAAGTTAAATCGGAATGGAAGGTAATAAAAATAATATTTTCTCCAATGTGATGATATTTTTTAATTTTTGTTATGGAAAATTAAATAGGATAATAGGATATGCTTCAATTTGTTTCAAATTTGCTTCTAGTTGAAGATATTAGCTCTAGACGGGGGATCACCACCTATGGAAAGCTATGCTAATATTATTGTGGAGGTAGATGACGTCAATGACAACAGCCCTCAGTTTGTCAATCCATCTGCAAACAATTCGCTCGTGTATGTCAACGTCTTAGAAAAGTCACCGATTACAAAAGTAAAAGTAAGTTTGTTACATTTCACGCTAATTATTAATATGGTGGGAACTAATTTGAACAACATATAATAAAAAAGCTATATTCTGTTTTTAATAACTATATGAATACAGTAATTATATCAAATTGTCTTTTTAATCTGATGTCGATTTTTCATTGCATTAACAGGCGATCGATCCAGATTCTGGGATAAATTCAAAAATCATATATTCCATCTTTGAATATACGAACAATTCGAAAGCACATTCTGGTTCAATGGATAATATTTCAATGCTTGTAAAATCTGAAAAAACGACCCCTCGTAAAGAAGACAGACATTATTTTATCATCAATCCAAACAATGGAGAATTACGTCTTAATTTTAGCAGGAAAAATTTGGAAGATTCTATAGGAGCACATTATATACGAATCAGGGTAAATTATTCTTAATTATTGAATTTTAAAAAACTAATCTGAATGAATATTGAATTCCCAACAACAACAGCTTGCGTGTGTTGATTTTCTTCATATTTCATTCGAGTTACTATGACCAAAAATTTTATTTATTTCATTACTTTTTCAGGCCAAAGATCATGGAATCCCTTCAATGTATTCTGATAGATTCTTAAAATTGATTGTCGGCAAATATCCAAGTCAAAGTGGGAATCTTTTCACAAGAACAAAACAACTATTTTCACATTCTGTTGATCCATTTATGCTCACTGTTGCACTTGGATGTTCTGTTCTCTTTTTGTTGGTTGTTGCTATAGTGATAGCAGTAAAATGTAGAAGTACGGACAAGGTTAGTACATTTCTGATATTTTCTGTCTGATAAATCACATATTTGTTGCCATATTGTGAATTTGAATAATGCTGTAAATTTAAATTTTATCTATTAACTCCAAGTTAAATTTACAAAACTTTTCAAACTACAAATTTCTGCTCCTACTATTGAAGTTTTCTTTTTCCTTTTCCAGAATATTCAAAAACGTAGCAGTTCCGTTACACCAAGTATCGAAATTAAAAGGAAGGGATTTAAAAATAATAAATCAACAAAAGTAACATTTTACGACGAAATTGAGAAAAGAAGACAAAAAGAAATGAAATCTTCACAAGAAAGGTAAATTGTTATATCATAGTATGGTATAAATGACATCTCAAAAATAGAAACTGATTGAATATATCATTTTCTGTCTTGCAGTCTTGACTCAATGAAACCGAATAAAGCGAATGAAGCTGCAGATAATTTGAGTAATGAAGCAGTGCGTTGCAATCAAACGAGTACAGTGAGTATGACACTTTGATTTTTACTCGTTTACTTCGAATATGTTTATTACAATTCTCAAAATGTTTAGTATATCAATGAAATCTTATTTTTTGTTTCAGAACATATTATTTACGAATCATTCTGATAGTGACAGTGGAAAGGGTGATAGTGATCTTGATGCCGCTGTTACCTCGAAAGGTATGGTCATATTTTGACACTTTTATTCATCGGTATAAAATATTAAAACCCAACTGGATTGTATCATAAAGCAGCTGCAACGTGTTATTTATTAACTGAGGTTTAGAGTCGTTAATACTCCAAATTGTTCAAAAGATTAACTTTCTAGCCATTTTATTTCAGAACATATTCAACTGAAGCAACTTGCATCTAGATGTGGTGAACATTGTCTCATTTACGGACATAGTGATATGTGTTGGATGCCAGTGAACGGTAAGTAATGCAAGTTTGGAGTCAATGAAAAAAAAAAAATAACGTTACAGACAATAGCACAGACTGCTGCCATTGTACTACTAATTACTCTGTGTAGGTTAGTAGATCTGAATTTAATCTGATGGAGTATAATCACGTAGGAAGGGATTTTGACTCGTCCACATCGTAGGTTGAATCAGTCTCTCTCCAAACTCTCCCTCCAAAACCAAGTACATGCATCTCGAACAAATGAATAGTTTACAGTTTTTATGCTCGACCCGAACTGGAAACCGAAAAAAAAACTGTGATTTGCCATATTTCCCTGGATAGAGATAAAAATTTTATTCTATCCTATAACTATTTAAGACAAATAAATCTTTTGTTGTTCAAATGAGTTTGTGTAGTTAGGAACTTGCTGAGCAGAGGTACGGAAATTGTTGTTTAGCAAATGAACGTATATTTAATTCATTACAATAATCGTACTATAAGTCTAATTTTTCGAAACTTTTTTGAACCTAACTCAAGGCAAATTATTGTATAAATGTATTTAGTGTTCGACGGTAGATTTGAACTTGTAATACTTCTCTGATGTATATAAATGTCAGACAAAGATTATACGATATTATATTGTAAGGAAACTGTGAATAAAACATAATTTTTGCGTTTTACAGTGAATCATGATGTACGGCCAATTCTTACGCAATACAACTGGGAAAAACTGAAGCCAAGATATATCAGAGATAATAATGTTAGAAAAAGCATTGCTTTTTCCTCATCGTCCTCGGTGCTTGGAAGAACTCACAGTCCATCCAGTTCCACAAGAGGAGAAATTTACAGACCGCACCATAGAGTGTTTGAAAGAAGACATTCTAACCCCACTCTTTTAGAAGAGCAACCTCATCCTTATTCACGCAATGACATTGGTTTCACATCGCCTCCTAACTATTCATCAATACTAAAGCAAAATAATTCCATGGTACAGTACGTTTCCCCTCCTACTTCAAATATTTCCACCCGTACATTATGTCTCAAACGATCTTCAAAAATTGACAAAATGACAATGAATTCAACAAATATTGTATGCAACCTCGACACGGTTTACGAAACTGAGTCAGTATCTCATTTATCCAGTGAATTCGATTTGAGTTCACCTCAGTGCAACTCAAAAGAATTGAGGGAAACCAGAAACCTTATTAATAAGAACTCAATACATTCCGATGCGTACGGAAGGGATTTACATGAAAATGTGAATGCTTCTCATATTAATCCACAAAACGCAAAAAAGCACAAAAGCTTATCGATGGAAGAAACGGAAGATATCATCAATAACATTGAAAATTTACTTCTTTAATCTTTTTTAACATTGTTTTTAATAAAAATTTATACTTTTTCATTGATTTTCTATTCGAATGAATCTAGTGGAACTACTTGATAATTGTTTAGGCTTATGTAGACAGAAATTGGAAGGTGCTTCATCTAGAAAGGCATTCTAAAAAAGCTTTCATAGGTATTTTTCTATAGTTTTTGGTATATTTGAAACTTCTAAATGTCCGCCGATGCGGTATTTTATTCCAAGTCTAAGATTAAGTTTTCTGATTATTACCGTCATCATCACATTTCTGCCAATATATACGAGAAGAGGGTATTCCTAAAAAATAAGTACAAAATACTGATCATATTTTACTCGATAAATTACTGCTTATTAATGCTGAACAATCTCGCAGTTTGTCTTCATCGTATTATATTTAAGTACTATAGACAAATTCGGATAGCTGGTTCACTTTTCCGAATGAGAAGAATTTAAGAAAAATGTACGAATATCGATGATTAAAACATATATTTTAATAAATAACAACAACAACCTCATAATAATAACAAAATCATTTGTTTATCCACTTCGGTTCGAATAAGACCCGGAAACGTTGAAAATTAAATAATCGAATTTCATATATGAATGATGAAACATGGATGGGTACATTGTTTATCTCAGCCTACTGAACATCCTGTAATTGCTGTGGTGGAATGCTCAGAGACGCATCAAGAATGTAATATTGCATGACTCAAATATCCTGTAACGTTATTCTTATGATCACACATTGTCAGACATACAGAGTAGAGATTTATTTTCTTACGTTGTAACCAGATTGATAGGACATATTTTGTATGACATTTTACATAGATATACAGGCAATAATCAAAAGAAAGGCCGGATATTAACTTATGTATTAGCTGTCGAGAATATTCGATTATTTTAGAATCTGATTCTATTTCGTATCCCATTATATTTGTCGTTAACTTTCTTTAAATTAGCATTAAAAACAGAGTATAAAGAATGAATAAGGTTAGTGAAAAGAATTCATTCAATGAATGCATCAAATACTTTATATAATAATGCCGAAATTTTCTGTTACATGAAGCTTCACTCAGTAGTACATTTATTATGTAAATTGGCTCTCCCGTAGTATGTGAACCAAGATGGCGGACACCTGAACATAGTATGTGTACCAGGTTAGGGTTAGGCCATAATTTCATTCCAATTTACTTTATTTTAAGTTCTATTACGAGTTCGGGGACTGGCCAAGTGACTCTCGTAGTATTTGTACCTGAAATGAAACCTGTTACTCGTACTACGTTCCGGTGTCCGCCATCTTGCTGGTCAACATACTAAGGGAGTATCAATTTTTGTTTGCGAGTAATACCGTGCCGTATAGTTATCCTTTTCATTTTAAAAATGACCCTGAAAACTCAATTAAATGATAAATGCTAGTTAAATGTGCGTTAGTGCCATTTGCGTCACGATTTCAAAAGAAACATTCATTACGAGAGAAACACATGATATTTAATCGATGGTTCGAAGGAACTTTTATGTAATGATATATTTGAAAAACTTCTTTTTAAATATTAGATTTCATTTCAAATATTCGAAAACGATTAGTTTCTTTAAAACTACGACCCATATCAAATATAACAACACCACAAGTGTTACGAATCGAGAAAAGATGCAAACGCAAGAAAAAGAAACGAAGAACGCTTTTGGTGGATGTTGAGGCAGCACCGCTGAGGCATGCAATTGCCTCGTGGTATTCGAATTATTGTTTTCTTCAATTAGAATGAAACTGTTTTTTTTTTGATATTGCTACTGACGGATTCAAATTAATGTCGATTTGAATCGCTTCAAAATTCTAAAACTTACATCCCTAACCGAGATTCCATTTGTTCTTGTAAATTTCTACAAATCACAATTGTATCTGTAAATTATTTTTCTTTCGATAAATCATGAATATTCCTTCTGTAATGCGTAGATATACGAATGCACAATTTCACGATGCTGTATATATCGTGCAATACTGCATCGTATGTTCAAATATTAATAACATCCTTATCTGTGGGTGGATTGGTTAGAAAAATATATAAAGCGTCGCGTCATTAAACTGTATTGTTCTGCCATTTGAGCTGAATACAAAACCTAACATAGATTGGGTGAGAATAATACTGACTTCTCGCAATGCTAGAACATGTAACAAACAAGGAATCAGGTGATAGAATCTTTTGAGTCGTATTCTCAAGCGTTTAAATTACGTTGAAAAATAGTTTGTACTTTTGACCTATGCTGATGTAGTATAAACTCCCTTTTTTAAAGAATTAATTTAACACAAGGAGATGCAAGTCCTAAATCAATGACCATTGTTGTGCATAAAAAGCTTTATTACTGTTTCATTGTAACTAATTCGGATTAAAGACGCTTTATTCAAATTCATGGTAATAGACCAATCGCACTAAGCCGCTTATTGTCGTTTCTAATCTTACTAATAGAAACATTTAGTTTGGAGTGAACTGAGTATAATTTTTTCGGGTATTTGTGACAACGAAGACGCAGAATATACTTAAAGGGAGATTCTCAATGCTGGAATTGTTTCGTAGTGGATAGATTGATAAATGAGTTTTAAGAATCTGGTGGAATTTTTTCAGTTTGATTACCCCCAGATCAGTGCTTTTTTTCAATTTCTTGCAGTGGCTTGAGACAAAATAGATAGAATCATTGACAATGTCCGCTTCGGAAGAAACTCAAAGAAAAGAGAAGGCATCAAATATATCATTAACTTCTCACCAGTACGAGACAAGGTTATCTGCGGATATCATTTTAAAGTTTCATCCTGTTATCAGAGTATTTTCAATGAAATATAGGATTATGCGTTTTCTTACGTTTATTATTAATAGTACCTAACGCGAAAGCCATTTGTATAAACTGCAACAAGCCTACGCATTCCAAAATATGCAGCAGTATTTTTTTAGCACTGTGTTCCCACTAAAAATAATTGCATTTTGACAGAGCAGAATATGGGTGGCCCAGAGAAGGCTCCTTTGCTGCATTTTAAGGATGACAAAATGAATAAAAATGTAAATCTATCTGAGGTACAATGGTTCTTTACTAAAGGGGGCATGTAATATCGTAGTATTTCATTCTTATAGGTTTGAAAACGAGGAAGCTTTCCAAAGTTTGGTGGATTTTCTTGCAACCGATCTCGCTAGCGTAAAAGACAAGAGACATGGTTTCAAAAAAGTGCCGGTAAAGAAGATTAAATTTTCTGACGGTCAAGGTATGTTTAATATTTGATTGCTCCGATGCTTTGAGTATTCTTAAGTAAAACTTGCTGCATGAATGTTTCTAATATAGAGTGTGGAACTCAATAAATGAGAGTGAATCGCTACTGTTATTTTATTACCCAGTGTGCTTTGTGGCTAGATGCTGGTGGCTAGTTCATCGTGAATTATCCAAAGCTGTAAATTCAGACTCTAAATAATAAAAGTGAATAAACGATCTTCTATACTCTACTATACTATAGAGTCTATAGAATGAGAAAAGTTGATGGTGGTTTTACACGACAGCAAGTTTGAAAGTGATTGAAATAAATTAGACCAAATTAATGACCGTCAAAACGATATATCTTGACAAAATAATTCGTTTATAATAATACTATTTAGGCATCGTCTCAAAAACCTCAACCTACTAACAATAATTTAGTGTCACCGGTTGTCGAGAAGATAAAGAAGAAATATGCACACACCGCGTGTCCTCATTGCCAGAGAGTTTACAACGATTTTGAGACTTCAGTCCTTAACGGTTGTGGCGTGACGAATCATAGAAGCAACAATGATCATATGTGCGTCAGACTTTTAACAGAGGTAGAAGAGCAAGCAATACCGCGGATATGTGTACCTTCTGTAAAGCCACTGGAACTTAGACTTGATTTGTTTAAATAACTTCAAATTCCAAGTTGCTTGTTTTCTTTTGATGATACTTTATAAAGAATCTGACTTTACGAACGCAAAATTATTTTGTCATCTTCAAAGCTGTTGCCAGAGGTAATTTGAATAAATTATTTTAATTTTAATTTTTTGTGTGAAAAGTCTATAACGCTTTCACATATATAACAATAAAATTTCAGATATAAATGTTCGATTTCTTAATGAAATGTATATTTAAATGTATTCATGTATTTAACAATAAAATATGTTAAAGATTGAACGCATTTACTACAACATTTTCGATTATTTTTCAAGTTTTGTATCAACTTTGTGAAATCGCTAGATGTCGCTCTGAAGCACTAATAGCAGATTAAGTTTCTCGGACATCCTGCGCTTTCTCTTATTTAGATAGGCGATTTTAGTTTTTTGTAGCTCCAATATTGAGTCAATTGCTCTTTTGAAATGAATTTGAGGTGTCGTTAGGGAGCAATTAACGTGATTTAGATGGCAGTATTCTACACATCCTATCTTCTCATTTGGCTGTCAATTGATGGATAATGTTGTGTTGAATATCTACAATGTCCCTCCTTTGTAAATATTGAATAAAATATACCGTTATTGCGCTTTTTTCATGTAAGTCGCCTTTCTTGTGCATTCTTGTCATATGTCTTTTAGTGATGAAATAATTTGAATTCTGTTGGCCTACTGTTTGATGACTTTGAAAAACAAAGCGCAATAATGTTGTAATAATTGACGATTGATATTAAACGCAATTGATAATCTTTTGTCAAAAAACAGTAAATACAAGCTGACCCACATTAAAAGTATTTAATATTTTTGTTTAATATCAATCGTCAATTATTACAACATTATTGCGCTTTGTTTTTCAAAGTCATCAAACAGTAGGCCAACAGAATTCAAATTATTTCATCACTAAAAGACATATGACAAGAATGTGCATATTCGATTGAGCATGAAATTGAAATGAAGTGAACCCTGTTGTGAATAAATTATTCAGAAAACAGTTTTTTGCATTTTCTGACTTTGATCTTAAAAATTTTCAACCATTACGACTACCGCCGTTACTACAGTCTGCAGTATTGTCCTTTAGACGAACCAAATTTTGTAACTGGAAAGTAATTGCTTATTTCAATTTATCCGATCATATGCCATTCAAGGTGTCAAGTTGAGATAGGTTTGTGGAGAAAAATATTTTCTGCAATTCAGGGCAACTTTAGAGTATATATTTGCAATTCAATTGACTCTTTATTGGAACTGGGATTGGATGATATCATAATTAATAGGTATCATTGTATGATAAGCTACATGAATAAGTAAAATACTGCATTATAGTACTCGGCTACTGCTCAACTTATTCTGCAACAAGTTCTTTGCCATAAAAGAATGACTCTTATTTGTTTATATTCTTTCTGATAACAAATGTGCCTAATCAACACGCGGTTAAGAATAGCTTTCTGATATCTCAAATATATGTATAAATGAAAATTTTGAAAGCGGTTTATTGAGCTATGATCTATCTTAGCGTACATGCTTGTACGAAAATCCATCGAGCTGGAATATTTTCCACTTAACTTAATTACGGCCAAATGTCACGTAATTTGGTGCAACAAAAATAAACACGCTTCGTTTGCACAAACAATAAACTCTTCGGATGCTTACATATATCAACGGCAGCCATAGTCATTGCGTTGGATAATAAATGAGCTTCGTAAATATATATGAGGTACTTTCTCTGTCTTCAAATTATCAACTCCTTTTTGTATCTTCTAATGACAATCACTGGAATAACTGAGTTGATTCAAACGCCCCAGACGAACATATTATAATTCCTGCTAATGCTCACCTCAAACCTCAATCGATTGTTTAATGGATGATCCCCAGCGTACGTTTTCAATTGAAATCCAGAGTTTGAATAAACTCTATTAACGTAAAAAGGCCGTTGTATAATAATGATTACCGATAATGAATCGAGATCGCTTACATACTGCAAAACTTTAATTGGTCAATATTCACTTGCTCTAAGAATTGGAGATTTCCAAACGGTGAATTCTGATAGTCAGTAATCGTTTTTATATTATGTATTGGTGTCTGAATGAGGCCTTTCATTTTACACCTATGTGGACAGGTATTATGTGTGTGGTGTATCAGCATATTTAGATTGGAGAAAAAAAATGACGCATCCACAAAGATATGAGAACATGTTTAAGAGAGTGTAGGGAGTGCAATTGAATGGTTTGCTCCCGTCCATAATATTATCCATGAGGCTTAAAATTAATTCAGTGCTTACTCTATGTCAATGTCGTTGGAAAATTTTTGTAATTAAGACTTGCTTCATTAGTATTTCTTGGACAACAGAATATCAATTAAAGATAAGATTCAATAAAATCATAAATCAATCACTGTGTTCGATGCTCAAGTATTCCAGATGAAATTGTGGAGTTATTATCGTTACGCTTTCTTTTATGAAGAGGCTGAGCATAGATTTTATAGGGGTCTTTAACCATACCCCGTGATACAATAAATATATATACGATGATATGATTTAGACAGTGAATATATTATATTAAGTTAGCAAATTTGAATTGTCATATCCTAATTAATTAAATTAGATGTAACAGTAGAAAAGTTCTTTTTGTTGACATATTTTTACCCTGGTAATGCATCTATACCGTGTAATTGTGTTTGGTAGTTACGGATGCTGATGCTTCCATTATCTACGATGAGTCACAAAAGTTGATATTAAGTCTAGTTTAATATAGATTGAAATTTGTTTAGTAGTCGATGGAATATATTCGATTCATTTACTTTTCTTTGTCGGAAAGATTAGGAAGTATACAATGTCAAAACCAGGTAATCTTCACCAAACAAAAACATAATGATTGTAGGATTGTTCGCTTACTGACACGGAACACCACAAAAGACGTAGTTTTAATCAGCAGATGAAATTCAGACAGTTGTTCCATATATATTCACCTATTTATTAAAAGAGGTCGCGTATTTGTAAAAATAGGCCGTAACCAATATGTCATCGATATTGGGTTGTTTATACACGATTATTACCATTGTGTATCACTAAAAGCGATTAAAACTATTATTATGTAAAATGTGAATATTGTAACTGTAACAACATTTAGTATATAATCAGTTATCTAGTTCATAGGTTCTGAAAGTGCTCCATACGGAGCTTCAGGGCTGCGTGAAAGACACCTAAGGGATCCGCGAGCTATTCGATTACTTATAAAAATACTGACTTGGTTAATTTTGTTACTGTCCAAAGAAGCAATAACCGTAATCATTAAATTTGACAACCGCAATTTGAATATTTTTTAAATACAAAGCAGCAAATACATCCGAGTCACTAAATACAGTAAGTTATTCAGGAACATTAATCGGTAAGTAACGATTTTATTTTCATAAATTCATTGTAGGGCTCCGTGAATAATATTCAACCTCTTCACAGGAACTTTTAGCGTTCATGTGAAATGATCCATCGCCACCCAATTCATACAATGATAAGTCAGTGAAGTCACTGCATTTTTTCAGTATATAGAGTGAGTGTCATTCTTCTGAAATGTCATAATTGGTTGTTGGTATTTTCTTACGTACGAGAATCGTCTGTCAGGGAGATTATGCATATATTTCTTGAGCGACACTTTATAAATTAATGATAAGGGTAAAAGTCATCTCCATCATAGCGCAGTGGACTTTTGGTAATAGCAATTTTTTGGTAAATCGATAATAAATTTTAAATTTCTGATTATGGATTGAAAATGTTTGTTTGAGGTGGGTGCATTTAAGTTCAATTACACTTTGCTCTTTTAATATTCAAAATATTCTTAATTCTTGAAAAGGTTCAGGATATAACGCAAACTTATATGAACTTGATAGAAACAAGAACATGTAAGAAAAATGATGATTTAAGATTGTAGTATGGAACAACAATGATGATATGACTGATATGGTCATTTTTGTAATATTAGTGATAATTTGTTTCAGTGAGTATTTGTGATTTGGAAACGGAATTAACAACCAGCAGTTATTTCGATTCATGGGATCTTATTGTATTTATCAAATTCACAAGAGTCAAGTGTTTCAGTTATTTACCTATTTAATCAAACTACTCCCCGGAATTGGGAAACAATGTGGGATTGTTTTCGAAATAAGCAACATATAATTTGATGTTAGGTATTATTGAGATATAACGAATTTTAAGGATTAAATATCATATCGTCACGCTAATAACCGAATTGCGTATGTCATTTTTAGCAGTTTTGAGAAAAACGTAAAAAACTTCCTAATGATATTGCTATGCCATTGAGAGTCAATTATTTTCCATGGTTCAATTTTTTGATCGTAGCCGGATTTAAGTTAATTTGTATGACGCAGTTATGTGACGTCATAATGGCGCACTGTGACTTAGGCAAAAATGTGTCTATGACTAGGGGACATACGCAATTTTGCAACTTGACTATATGTACCAGTCCTGAAACCAAACAATCCAAAAACGAATGTATTTCTTAGTATATACGATGTCTGATCCCCAAAATAGCTAATCTGTTTCAATTACATTATTTTTTATGTTTAAAAATATATATTTCATCAATATAACATGCTTTGCACATCCACCGAAATAAGACTAAAGTTAAATATAAAGAACAAAACAGCAATGTACCCTTATATAAAAGCCAACCAAGGTGAATTGGGCTCAGCAGTGAATATCACAAGTGCACGCCGTCCTATACTGTAGTATAAATTGAAATTTATAAGCGCTAAGCTAGAATCTGTGATGCAAAACTCGCCGAAAATCCTTCGCCGAGGTTATTTTGCCTCTGTGACGTCACAATAGTCCTGCGTTAACAATGATAATTCATTATGACGAAACAATTGAACAAATTTGCATATCATACAAAATCTCTATTTTTATGGGTTTCGGAATTCCTAAAATAAAATCTGAGTTAACAGACAGGTGCGCAGCAGTACATAAATACCCATTTTATGGAAAACTCAAAACCGCCAAAAATAAATTACGCAATTCAATTATTAGCGTGACGATATGCAATTATTTATCTATTTTTTTTTTATAAATTTCCGTTTGAGGATACCGATATAATGAGTTTTTCTACGTAGATCTGCGTAAATACTGTTCACAAAAAGTACATACCTACTCAATGCCAACATCGTATCTGTAAACTATGTTCCAATAGAATAAACTGAACAAAATCTTAATATAGATGAAGTGCGGTAGAATTTACAATTGTTAAATAAAGTTTTGAATTGAAAAAAGTCATTTTTTTCGTAATACTTTTGTTAAATCTTTTTCTTTTTCGTCTGTAAATTTATCACATGGAATCAAAATAATGCAAAACTTGATTCAGAATATTCAAGTTTTTGTCTTCTCTATTTTTATTATGGTATAAAATTCACTTCTCCACAAGGTTACGTAATGACACGGGCAACTTAGGACTTAGGTGAATTTAGTAATTTTCTCATGCCTCAGATAGTAAGTAAGTAAAAAAGAATTTTTGGGTCTCAGAATTATTATTTTATGACTGACTTCTGGACTTAAATACTATTGATTAAACTTAATATGTGTCAGTCAAGAATACAAAGTTTGTTTTTGATGAATAAAAGTAGGAAGATCAATTTTTTCTGGAGGTGATGACGTAATTCGGAAGAGTCAATTATAAGGTTATTGCACTAAGTTTTTAATATTTTAATATCTCACAAAGAAGAATGTTAGAAGAAAATAATAACTAATGTTAAAAAAAGACATAAATTCATACATTATGCACATTTATTCATGTTAATTAGATTCTGTATGTTTTTTTTTGAAGTTCAATTTAGCAAGAACTTTCATTTGTATCAAATATAGTCTAAATACTAAATTCAGAATGTGCATTTCATTATAGAATCCATAATGCATTTTTTGAGGAATATAGTCTGTCATTGATTTAGCATGATCTTGACTATCTCCAAGCACAATAATTTGTGCTGATTAATATTTATGAGAAATGTCATTCTAGAAAATTAGCTGGGAGTCAAATTACAATCCACCCCAAATGGTCCTGCCGATAATGTTATGCTTGTCTGTAAATATTCCTACTTTTGGTTCCAATTTAAGCTTTCAATTTTAATTTAAAATTTTAGAGTTTATAGGTGAGATATTCTCTTTGTTTGTATTCTAGACTGAGCATAAATTTAAAAACGAACATAACTGTCTTGTTTTAAGCGACCGATTCTTTTAGGCCATCATATGAGACGGACTATTTGTAAGTATAGTTAATGTTCCGAGAAGAGGTTCAGCCTTTTCTATAATGGAAACCACAGATAAAATATCAGTTATAAGTGAACATAAAGAATTTTGTTCAATGGCCCGGTATCGTCCAATTAGATTGAACGACTATTGAGAATAATTTTTTGTAATTTACCAACTTCATTTTGATTTTAAGACAGATGACCTTAATACAATCCCAATTTAATTTAAGTTATAAAAATTTATTTAGTTCTGTTGGCGTTTGAACATGCATCACCGCAAGACCCCAGGGGGTCGAGGTAAGCAATTACAGATTTATTCAACAGGTTGAATAAAACTATTTAATTCAAAGCGAATTTGTTTACTTCTTCGGTATTTTATTCTATTTCGCTTATATATATTTTTGAATTAAATTATTTTTCAAATATTTTTGATTGCTGATAAAGTTAGAGTCAGAATTAAATATGAAAATAATTTCAGATGTAATTGCAGATATTGTATAAACCCAGTCAGTTAAATAGCTCAGCTTAAGATTATCCAGATTAAGATTTAGGAATCGTAAATTTGTATTTGTTGGAGGTAATAATGATCTGGAATAATTTGTGATAAAGATTTGTTTTCCTGTGTATTTTCACCGAATGTATAGCTCATCTTCAATTTGTTGGAGGTCGAACAATACAGCATAAAAATGTATTGCTTCCATAAAAGACAAGAATAGAACAAAAACGTTTTTAAGCTAATGACTGAGTGTTGGCACAATAATGCAACAGTATCAGGAGTAATTGAATTTGCGTGTTATCGGCAAACAGCAGAAGTGAGAGCTGACTAAATTTCTCGCTCAATTGAAGAGAAAAATGTCTCTAGAGATTTGAGAAACGCTTCAGGTAATACCTTGGACGATCGTGGATAAAGTTTGAATATACGATCAGTCACTTGTGGTGTGCCAGCCACACGATGAATAAATCATATCCGAATGCTTTAACGTATGAAAATAGTTTTTCGTCCAACTTTTGCACCCTGTTTCAGGACTATGATGTTCAGCCTATTCAACTGTCTATTGAAAAGTATATAAAAATCATAAATATTAATAAAATAAAAACCATTTAAAAAAATAATGTTGGTTATTTTTATTTGGCAATTTTTTTTTTGGCAATGGAAGTATTCAATCATATTTCAATTATCTCTTGTTGATTGTTATGCAAAACTAAGCATCTGGTGAAAGGGGAATAATATTACTATGCGACAACATATGAATAAATAATAGGGGTTAAAACTACATGTCAATCATTTCTTGAGTGTTTTACAATTACGGTTTACTTCGTATTTTTCGTAGAGACGCAAATATCAAAACATCAGATAGCAATTTAATCTTGTGACGACGACGAATGCGGTTGGTAATTTATGGGTTGGCAGTTTAGATAGATGAATACTAACATAACCAGTTGTGTATATAGATTAATGTAGAATATACAGTGAAATATAAGCTTTGAAATTGTGTGCAGCAGTATATCTAAAGAAAAGAAATGTACGACAAACATGATGAGATTTGTTATTTATAATCCTTCAGTCAATCTTAGGTCAAGTCGGTACAAATACCAACATTTTGATTTAAGTTTAAACAACTCTCAAGTTTTGATTTTATTTTTATAATTAGTTCCAAGTTGCCAGCATACATATAGAGATTGTGTACATCTAATTTTTAACAAGATTCTCTTTGTTCTCATTGATTTAACTGTCTCGCTATTTCATTCGATTATAATACCGGTATAAGTAATTACTCTATTTGCCCACTGCCTGTATAAATAACTAGATTAATGAAAGGTTTTTGGAGATGGATCTATAAATGGTTGCAATGGTCATGTAAACCCCCACGTGACAAGACATGTCGGACGGTACAGAGCACGTAACTCATTTTTGACGAATATGTCATGTATTTGTAGAAAATTTAGAAATAAATAATAAAAATAGATGAAAAGTTATTTCAGTGATAAATTAAATTGACAACTTGAAAAGTAACATTTTTGAAATCTAATGACTATGTTGGCACAATGATGCTCCCGGAAAGCGCATAATTGATTTTTTATGTTTTTGGTCGCTTGGTAGCATTTTATTTTGAAAGCAGACATCATCCGCTGTGACGGCTCACTGACACTAAATTTTCTTTTAATCCATTAAAGATATAAATGGATCAATGACAATTCCATTGTTAGATTTGAGGTGAAGTTATACAGAAATAGATAGAGTTATTTAGACTCATTCGTCATTCCTTTATAAAAAGATAAACTATAGAAGAAGGGAGGTATAATGAAGGAAACAACTATACAGCTTAGGAATAAATTATGAGTAACGTTAGCAAACGTCGGGAAGATAATATTAAATGTATGCAATTATTCGTTGTAAAATAGCTATATTTTAATGTACCCCAGTTGTCTGAATATGTACGACTAGTGTTGGTTTATGATAGATTCGATGATAAATACATCTAAATTTTCTGGACCTTGTTTGTTTCTGGCAAACCAGTCTTGAGTGTGAACTCAGATTATATTACCCAGTTAAAATAAAGGTTACAATGTCTTAATGTAATTTGACTCGAGTGAAGGTGCAGTCAACGAAAGAGAAATTTGTATACTAATCTAGTCGATACTTATAAAATTAAACGCGATCGCAGCCAGCGAACACACATTTTACCAGACCGCCAATGTCTAGATTGTGTCTCACAACCGCATCGCATCAGAAATGTTGTTGTAAAAAGCACCAATTTGAAGCGAAATTTCATTTTTGCTGAGATGCTTATAAAATAATTTTCATTCATTCGGCATACTTAAAATATTTTTTAGCTTTTTGACAAAATATGTTGTATCAAAAATCAATATTTATACTGTTGGGAATTATGTACATGGGAATTAACGACGTTTTGTCATCGATTATAAAAAGAAAAGTTCACATATCTGAGGAAATTGACGAAGGTGAGAAAATTGTGTCAATATATGTTACATTTACCTAAAGAATATACTCCAAACTAACTGAAACATTATTTTGATTGTGATATAATTAAAAAATAAGTTCAGGTTGAATAAAGTATGGTTTATATTTGCAACAACCCAAATAACTCAGTGTTAGTTTTCATTGTTTACATTTACATGTTTTTTAACATTTAAAACGTTTTTAACATTTAAGTACTAGAGAAATGTCAGTAAATACCATGTTAAGTCATTTGGTTTGCCATATACAGTGTTGGAAGCTTCCTTTTAATAGTTGAAAGACAAAAGTTTTTTTTCCTGTATCTTCAATCCGATTCATATTGCCCAAAAATGGGCAGCAGATGATTTCCCTACCCCCATTCCTATAGAGGGTGAACCCCTTCCCCCCAATTATTTTCCCTCCCTAAGTTTGTGGGGTGACACCACATTTTAAATTCTTCACTTGAATAATATAGTATTGGAATATCCAGAAAGTGGCGCATGTACCAGTGCAGATGGTCAGTCAAATACACATCTCATTTTTATGGGTTACAAATAGTTTTTTCGCTGATAGAAAAAAAAAGACATTTTCCACCAATCTCCAATCTTGAAAACACCCCTCAAATAAAAATCTGGATAGCATATTGAACGCTGATTTCATTATATATTCAAATATGTCATTCATGCTATGAAATCAATAAATTACGTCGAATTTTTAGGAACCGTAATTATTGATATTTCTGAAGTTTTGGGACACAGTGATAAATCAAGAACAAACCGCGAATACAAATTAATATCTCAAGAACTGGCTACGAATGTACAGGCAATAGATACACAGCAGTGGTTTATAATAGATGAAATTTCTGGAAACGTTGAGACCAATCGTCGTATCGACAGAGATGATTTGTGCAGAAAGAGTGGCACTTGTTTAATTAAAGCCCAGGTAATTGGGTTTCGTTTAACAATGTCCATTACCAACGCAACAGAAATTAGGCAAAACTTGCATATATACAAATAGAAAATTTAGACATCATTAAACATGTGTTATACTTGTACAATAAAAGTATATTAACGATTGTCTTCATTGTTCTTCATTTACTTAACAATGTTACTAAAGTTGACCTCCAAAAGCTTGAAACAGATCTTGAACTCGCAATAGTAACCAAACTTCGAAATTTCAGTATAAGTGGATTGTAAGTGATGTAATAGCATTTGAAACTGATGCTTTTTGTAACTATTCATTATCAACACCTTCAAACATTTTTTAGATAGTCGTTCTTCCTTACGAAATCTTTCAAGCTGTTGAATTAGAAATAGTCATCGAAGACATCAATGATAACAAACCGATATTTCCAAATGAAGTAGTCATTATGAATTTGACTGAAAAATGGAATCTGAATGAAATTATAAATATTGATGTATACCAGGCTACTGATAACGATATTGGTAATTAAGAATTAGTTGGTTAATTTATTAATTATCCTAGCATTCCATTTATTTTATTCAAATCGTTTCTGTTTGGGCAAGATGTCTTATAGATATCACTCATTTATGTTCCATTGTTAACATATGCATTTTATGCATTCCAATTTGATAAGTAAGTATTGATTTGATTGAATCAAATCAATGAATACACTTAGGTTAAAACTTTTTTTAAATATGATACTTCGGGAGTGACTCATTCTTTATATGCTATATGGTTTTATCATGATATAAATTGAATTTTCCGCTTAAAGTACCGCGGTATCTTAGATTTGAGTAAACCTTGCTTGTGACTTATTTTGTATATGCACTGTCGTTGTGGATAAGTATGCATGATGTGTAATGTATTCACAGGTAAGAATGCGGCACTTCAATACAAGTTATTTCCGAATCGATTCTTTCGAATAAAATACTTCTTTGACAAAAGCAACTCAACACATTTGGAACTGTACTTGCTACGGAAATTAGGTTTGTTTAATAGTAATTGTGAGATTAAAAAATTATCATTCATTGACTTCTATCTTACGATATCAAGAGTCAATTAATTTTTTTTATATTAATTCAAGTTTAACGACATTTTATATGTTATGTAACGATAAAACAATAATTTAATAATAAATTTGTGTTTACAAGATAGTATAATACCATTTAGGTAATCCGTATCTGACTGTTAAATTATCATTAATAAGAAGGTAAAGCTCAAAATATATATATTACGTTAGTACCGGTATCGTCTTAAGTTGTTGTTTGATCACTTGGGAAATTGCAATTTCACAAACCTAGCAGAATTTGAGGTGACTATCCCACATAGAATCCCACATAGAAAAACTCGATAATAATTAAAAACGATGATGATACATCAAACCCTTCCATTTGCTCATGTAACTATGTATAAAAGCAACCAAAAAACAGCATACCAACAACAGATATCCAAAATTATTATTGGTTCTGTTTCATATATATTCATAAACCATTTTCATTAGATTTTGAACAAACACCGAGAATAGAATTGATAATTGAAGCAATTGATGGTGGAAAGAATGCTACAAAAGGAAGAATGATTCTCATAATCAATGTGCTTGATGCCAATGACAATGACCCAATATTTGAGAAAGAGGTTGGTAAATCAAATTTTTAATGTATTTTCTGAAAATGTGATTCCACGCAAAAAAAAAGATTGCAAAGATTCTACGCAAAATAAAGATGGAAAGTTACTAAATTCTCAACTTCAAATCATTTTTCTTCCAAATCAGCAAACGATATTTTTCGTAACTTCAGAATCTATTCATCATGACCAAGCTAAGAATGTTTTCATATTTCTATTTATATCAACAGTCACTGAATAAAATAACTTTATTACAACGAGAAAAATGATAAGTTAAAAAAACATCGTAAGTTAGCTTTCATGGAAAAACTGCTGGCTTATATTTTTAGAAATATTCTGTCATAATCAAAGAGAACCAGCCACCAGGTACACTTGTAACAGTGGTGCATGCAAACGATTCTGACAGTGACTTATTTGGAGACGTTCGATACTTTATCTCAAAAAGAAATAGTTTTGCTTCCCTAAATGCCGTAAGAATAGATTCGATAAGTGGGAAAATCACACTGAAAAAACGTCTGGACAGAGAAATATCAGAACAGTTCGTATAACGATATCTTTTAAAATAGGAATTTAATAATATGATAGTTACAATTTTATGTGATAATAGACTAACAGACCTGCTTATAATTCTTTATGCACTAACTATGATCCTAAATTTAAAAAATTCCAATAACCATTTATTGTAGAATACATTATTCCCTCAATTTTTAAATACTATTTGATTTTGATTCATTACGTGAGTCATAGTTACACCAAGGTAATTTTAGACATTAATTATGTGTGAAAAATAAAAATGCAATGTGTTTCATCTTTCGATGCGTCTTCACCAAATAAGATAAAGATTCGGGCTGAAGTAATGTCAAGACCTCCGTTCATTTGTGTTCACACCACCATCTTGAAGTGTTTGCCGTTCACAAATAAATTCCCCCTCTCATTGAAAAGTAAATATTATTGAAAATATTAAAAGAAATCATGTTTCGATGTAGTAGAAGATAGACTTTTCAATTCTAACCATGATTTTCCAATTTAGATTGAAAATACGTGTCACAGCTAGAGATATGGATCCTGTAAAACCAAGATCAGGTGAAACTTGGGTTCATATCAAAGTTCTGGATGTGAACGACAATGAACCGAAAATTAAGGTGGATTTTGTGTCACAACATGATGGAGACACGGGTAAAATTAAGCTAAAATATGTTAATTCAAATGCAAACTATTATTATTTATTTGTTCGCTGTGATATATTCCTTAACACCGAGTTGATTAACTTTTTTGCTTCCCGTCTAGTTGTTTAATGATAGTTGGTATAATATATTTTAAGATTTTGTGATATTTACTTAAATGTTTTGAACACTGTATAAAAAATGAGTAAAATTACCCAAAACATTAAATTTCTTTCACGGCTGTTTCTGCCTTGAAATTCGTAACTGAGAATCTGCCTCTATAAATATTTATTACTTTTTTTTTTCGAAAACTTCGAATTCGAAATATTCGAATACGCAGAGCAAAAATGAAAATAACGTGAAGGGAAAATAAAAAAAATAAATAAAATTTCTTATTTTACAGTTTACGTACTTGAATCTATTCCAATTCATTCCTACCTTGCAAAAGTCAAATTCAGCGATTCGGATGCAGGGGAAAATGGAATGGTTCATGGTTACATAACATCTAGTTCAGTGGTTGGAAGACAGAAATTTGGTGAATATTACATGATAAACAACCTTTTACTCGATATCATTTTAAGTAAATGTGTTTAACTACTTTTAGAAAATGTTGACCAGCGATTTGGAATATCAAAAGACGGATTTGTTGAAACCTTACATTCACTAGATAAAGAGATTTGTGATCATTACGAGGTTATGTTGCATGCTTGTGACGGAGGTTCGCCAAAAAGGTATCTTTTAAAATCCCAAATAGGCAGTTTTGATTATTTTAACAGCCTTATTTTTCTGGAAAAAAATTATCAATAGCAGAAAAATGACAATTACTCGTAAGAGTATAGTCGTTTTTATTTGCAATTCTGGGTGAAAGAACATAAAACGAGGGTAGTGTCTTTGTTATGTTTTGAAATATTTTAGTAGTTTAAAATTCGACCATTCGATAAATACTTTCTCCAGGTACTCCTGAATCTTGCTAATATATCTTAGAAAGTTTTCCGCATATGAATCTGATACTGCCTGTTGCGTAAAGCAAATATCATATATAATATATATGCACGGAGAGATGAAATTAACAACTTAGAAATATTTGCACAGTCTCACGAAAAGTTGTTGTAGGCTTTTTTACTTACTGGTATCGTCTTCTAAATGGTGTCATAATTGCTTACAGCAATATACAGACTACAAGACAGGTTCATTCACAATGCTTACTGCAATTACTTTTGGCTAAATCATTTTGATACGTATACAGCTTTCAGTCAAACGATCATAAAAGCAATACTAATGTATTTCTTGTAGGTACCATGACACTTGTAGGAATAGGTAGATTCCGTTTTTATTTTATCATTTTTCCTTTGAAATCATTACAGCTGTTCTACAAGAACAATTTCTGTTGTGATATTGGATGTCAATGAATGTATTCCAAGAATAGAAAAGCCGATCATACATATAAATATGAAGGAAGATACCTACATAGGCACAACAGTAACTCAGGTAGTCGCCGAAGACTGCGATTCAGTGAACGGCCGAGGATTGATGTTAAATAAAGTGAGAATTTATGATGTATTATAGTTTAAAAGTTTTCAACAAAGCTTGAATTTTGAGAAAAAAATATTCATGGTTTTCACCACAGAGCGGACATGTCGTGCCTTCTCGCAATGGCGAGGTGTCGTATTCTATTATTGATGACGGCGGAGGTAGTCCTTTCATTGTTGGTTCAAAGTCTGGTATAGTACGATTGCTGAAACCTCTAGACAGAGAAAAGAAAACGACTTGGAATGTAAGTGTATCATTTCCTACGCGTATTTGTAATTGTTTTCCAATCAAGAGATTTTGCAAAATTTTATTTTGCCAGTTAAGAATCTCGGTAAAAGATGGCGGCTACCCACCATTACATGAAGTTTCTCACATCAATATAGATGTTGAAGATATCAACGATAATGTGCCCATCTTTGTCAATCCAAGAAAAAATCATTCGACGATTTACTACAATTTATTAGAAAATGGCGAAATTATAAGCATACAGGTACATAAATATTATTACTAGTACAATTATATCGAACATTTTGAAGTCAACCAAATAAATAGTGTTCTTTCAGCAAAAACAATTTTGAAATTGAGTTAAAATATTCTCTTATTCTTTTGGGATTCGAAACACGTCTGTATTTAATGCACGGTCATTGTACATTTCTTCAATATCCTTAGTTATTTCAACCTTTATATTACAGAAAGACTAAAACAGATAACTGCTTTCAAAATTATTCTCCTTGTGATATTTTTGAAGCCATAAAATTTTACCTGTTTCTTCTGCAGGCTAACGACCGAGATGCTGGTTTGAATGGTAAAGTTACTTATCATCTCAAAGCTTCATACAGAGTTTATGACAACTTGAATCCGAATAACAAACTACTGCCAAGACATGCTTTTAACTCTCCAATTTTTATATTAAATCCTTCAACTGGTAGCTTGAGAATGAATTTCAGTCATCAAAATCCGGTGGACCTCATTGGAATTCACGAGCTACAAATTCAGGTTTTTGAAAAACACAACATATATATATTTGTTAAGTGATTTGGAAAAATACATATAATATTTCGAAATAATGATAGTTTTTGTGTTGGCATAACATTGGTTATCGACCCTCCCATGTTCACATTCGCAAATTGGAAAGATATTGATATCTTTGCATCCGGAGCATATTTTATTTAAAGCATATCAAAAACGAAATGGATCTGTGGGTGATTTTGTGAAGTTGTTGTTTTCCGTAGGGTCGGCGTTGGGCTTTAGAACCAATTTAAATTGTTAATAGTTCACGATAGAAAAAGTGATATATTGCGCCACCAGGTGTCATTCCGTCATGCTTGTCCTTCAGAGCAAATTTATTTCTCGTCTGAGACCTCACCAGTAACGATGTGAGACTTTTGTCTTCACATACCTAATCATTGCTCGATAGTTTTTATTCTACTCATAAGATTTATAATACATTTTCAATCCACCACCATGCCATTTTTTGCAAACTACGCAAGAGTTTTATTGGGAAAATCAAGCAATTCAAGAAAATCCGTAATTGTTTTTTCTTCTTATTCAGATTAAATTTTCAAAAAATATTGTTTTGTGGGGGTAATAATCCATTTTGTATCTTTATTTTAAAAATACTGGAATCAGTTACCTATATATTTCGTTAAGGCAAAAGATGTCGGTAACCCGCCAATGAGCAGCACTCTCTTTCTTCAAATAGCAGTTAGCAACAAAAGTCCTGTCAAAGAAGATTTAACGACTAAAACACAACCAAAAGAAATAAAGCTATTTGCTCTTATACTTTCAATAACATGTGGAATGCTGTTTACGGTTTTAATTGTTTTCATCGTAATATTCAAATGTAGATTAATAGAGCAGGTAAAGTGGTAGCTAAATTGCTTTGCAGAATATTTATTAGGGGGTGCTTGACTTATAATACTTAAACACGTAACAGAGTATATAACCAAGCTACCAGCACCAAATAACTTTATCCGAAATCAAACCTTTGGACTAAAGGACATGTAATTTATTTTGTTTTTTTACTTTATATCCATTTGTTTTTTGACCCAGAGCACTGAGCCTGAAAACAAACATCAAGGTAACGTGACGTTGCCAAAATTTTATAATGAACAATCGGTTCATTCGGAACGAAATGATGCGGTACATGGATACTCAGTACATGGATCGAAATACATGGAATTTCCAAGAAATGAGAATATTACTTCAAATGGCGACTATTCGGAGTAATAAATTTAGTTTGCTGTATTATATTCCTAAGCTTATATTTCAGTTTAGCAAATATCAATCGATCCCCAAATCATATTAAAATTAAATTTCCCAAGAATGACAACAAATTGTTAAAGCATAAAAAACCCAAAACATCATCATTTATAGAATACGCTTTAACATTGTACATATACAATTTACTTTCAAATTTCTAAAATACTCTTATGCAAACGTGATACTCTTTTCTGGCAAATATGCAGACTGAATGTATAAAATTAGCAACATTGGAACCAACAATTGAACTTTTTAAGATTATAGTGTTGTAAAGTTCATATTGAACTCACTGGAGCTATTTTATTGAATGGTGTGATTTTGGTAATAATTCCTAGCTCGTAGAAACGAATATAGCCTACAGCAGTAGATTTTTGTCTAGTATACTCATGTGAAATTGTCTTGAAAATAACTAACTATACTTTACCAGGCGCAACCAACGAGTAGGAATGATAGAAAAACAGACATCCTGCGACTCCCAAGACCAAAATTTTCTGCTATCTACAGTAAGCTATATTTCTTCCTGCTGTTAGAAAACAAATATGCTTTTAGTTATCATCATTTATACACATAGTTAATAACTAATTAATTGATTTTCCGACATTTTAGCCCAGGCGTATAGATCTGGCGATTTCTCCACATTCTGATGCGGACAGTGGAAGAGGTGACAGTGACATCGACGCTGCCGTTTGTAATGTTTTTGATTCTAGTGGTAAAGGTACTGCCAAAAAAAAATTCCCGAACTACGTATTTTATAAATTGATTCAATATTGGATGCACATCAATTGAAAAATAAAAATAAATAACAGGACCTGAGTCATTTGATACATATATATTCTAAGGAAAACACAACTTTTGTGTCGGGTCCTGGATTACGAGGCTTTTCCATGGGAAACGCCCCATGATTTTCGGGGAAATTATGGTAAAACATCTCGTAATGGATTTCGTGTCCATATATTTGAGTATAGTTCTCTTGTTAGTTATAAAGTGCAAACTATATTCAGCTTTAACAATATACTTCGTGAAGGGGCTGATGAATACATGTATAATAGTTATGAATAAGGAGTTCACAAAGTCCGTAAATTTTGTTGTTTTACATGTCTATTTGTACATGCAGTCCTATTTAGTAAACGCTAAACCTAGATTTAACAATTTTTATTGAATTTTATTCTAATGGAAATCATATGGGATGGGACAGAAAAATATGTCCCATGGACAAGCCTGTAGATCATGGGTCCTGAATTACTGAAACCTTTGCGTACAATCATACACAAACAGATGTGCAAGTGTGATGAATAAATTTATTCACGTACGTTAAAGGAATTGAGTAATTTATGGGTTATGTTTGGGGTAAACTTGTAATTAGGCTTCCAAATATAACTTTTTTGCTCAAAATTCTTATTAGTATGTATGTTTATCACGTGAATTAACTTTTTAGAATTCCGAGATAACCGTAGGCATCCGAAACATCATCCAAGACCTTCGCTACTCAATATACAGCACCGGGCTATAATAAGCGAAGATAATATGGGAACTTCCACAATGGAACGAAAATCAATATGTGATGATATAGACACAAGGGAATCTTCACAATCGTCGGAATGTAACCGCGACCCATTAGTAGATTCACTTCCAAATTCTGCAAAATGTATGAGGATTGGTAGTAGATTTTCAAATTGTGGGAGTGAAGATGGCTTTAAAGCTGGATGTACATTTTCAAAATACACTAGAAGTAATTCGATGGATTTAGCAATGAGACATTCTCAAAATAAATCTGCATTTGTTGAATTACCCGATGATGATGAAATTATGCAGTCAGACAAAGAAGAGTCGGAAAGTGGAACTGAACTGCAAATATAGACGTCATACAATGAGAGTGTTATTGAGCTGCGCTAATGTAGTGGTTTCTGAGAAATTCCCAGATATGGGTTTGCATTCGGATCTACAAATAAATAACCAATGCCTATATCGGATTATCTGGTTTTTCTATTCATTCTCGAAAACACAATTTCTTCAAATTTCATACCAAAACATGTTGAATAAAGCAACAATTTAACAATTTTCTAAGATGCTATTTATTACTACTTCATATCCTGCTAATATCAATATTTGATAGATGAATTTTATTTTCATGCTGTTACTTCTCAATAAAGGATACGCAAATGTTTGAAAATAAAACTGCGAGTGTTTCCCACAATTTCCAGTTCATTAGGTTTAGAAAATTCGAGGATAAATGACTTCAGGTGGGCCAAATGAACTAGCAATTAAATCGCTAGACTTAACTAACTCGTTGGCATCGCAAATTACATACTTCTGGTTAAAATCCAATACCAGTCCTCTCGCATAAAGTGTAATAAATTAGGCGGCAATGCCTTATCTGAAGATCCCAAAAATAAAAGCTAGTTAGTTACATGTCAATAGATCTAAGTGGTTAATTTTACAGCGCCTTGTTTATAGCGAAAAGCATCGAGCTTTATATTATATCTAGGTTCATGAAATCTGTTGCTTTACGCTAAAATTTGCTTGCTTATGACCGATGAACTTACCGCGTGAACTTTGCGCCGCACGTGAAGTGAAGACTACAGGTACGCCATTTGAGCATTTCTTTATATTCAAATAATTATTCAGTTACTGAATGTTTTCCAAACATGTAAATCGTTATGATTATAATCATCCAACTAAATCGATCATGCTTCCTTATATAAATATGTGTAGACACATTACTTATCTGTATTCAATGGTCGGTATATCTATACATCATGTTTGATTTATTAATGTTTGCGTGGACAATGCAGTTTTAGCAGTATCAGTTGTTATAATGAAATCATAATACTTCGAAGCGTTGCTCGTCGTGTTTCCGGCGTGATTTCCAGTATCCTGTTTATTTCAGATTAAGTTAAATTAAATATGATTCCATTGTATAATAATATTTATGGCAACTATGTGGGTATTCTTCCCGTTGTAGGATAGAGTGGAGAAACATGTCGGGTTGTGCACTGTTTAATTAATGTGGTATTCAAATTTTCCCCAAATATGTTCTTTTACAATTTTCAAGGATTTGGGGGTACAGGGTGAGGTTATAAGTCTATATCCAAATAATTTAGAGATCCATGTAAAGGTTTACCTATAAGACAAATTCCAAGAACTATCCGGATTGTGAGAAGATCACCGACTATTTTAATGTTCAGATTGTTCGGAAGTTTTAGTTCAAGTACTCCAGATTTAATTAATGAAAGTTAGAAGGATATAAATCGGTTCAGACCTCTCAAGTTAGGCCATGGCTCAAATAAAATGTGAATCTAAGTTTAGAATGAACAAAATAGTTTTGGATTGCATCATTGTTGCAGGTTAATTCTGCTATAGAACAAGTGATTCACGATTGATTAAATTTATATTCAAACTTTATTTATTCTGCTTCGAGTCAATATGTACTTTTTATTTGGCGTGGTAGCTCAAAGATGAGCTTTTAAAACTTTTGCCAATTTTGTCTAAAAACGCGTGTTAATAATTCCGTACAAAGGCAAATGTGTAATTTTCCTATTGTGATGTATAACTAGTGAGCAGCGATTGGATTGTTGTCAAATGGGCATAGTTAAAATCCCAACGATAATGATGAAATCCAAAATTTGAAGAACGGGTTCCCTTTTTTATTGAACTCACTAGCAACGGGTTCGCTCCTACCAGAAAATCATGCCTAAAATCTAAAACAATACTAAAACGTAACATGATAAAACCAACCTAAACGTCATATTCACCTATTTATGAAGCTAATTAACCTAAATTAACACACGTTTTATATAAATCTAATACATGACTTTCAAAATACCAAATATAGGAAATGTAGCTTGTCATCTTATTTGTACTTCTTACCAAATACTTGTAAACGCATAGTCGTTTACTCACAGAGAAAATTGTAATGGTGCATTTAAAAACTGCTAACTATTTGATATTGTTTCTCTACAAATGTAAATTTTGTTATTCAAATTCACGACAGGAAACTAATTTGTGTTTTAGTTTAACGAAACAACTTAGGTGAACAATTAGACAAAACTCATGCTCTATGTAATGGCGTCAAAGAGAAATAGTTTGGTGTTATGTGCTTTACTTTATGCATCGTTCATCACAGCTGACGGTAATGTACTCCTAGTTTTGCTTGTGTTTAATTCTAGTGTATTTGATAGACTTGTATATAAATAACATAAAATTAAATTTAATATTTCACTTGTTTAATTTTATAATGAAAACTTGGTGGTATAAAGTTAATGAATGATCAGACTGGAATCAAAACGTTGGGTAGTGCATGTGGGTAGTGAGTTTTGTAATATATTGACACATCTTTATTTTTACCAATATCAATTTTAAATTGATTACAAATATTGCTTATTTGAGAAAATGTGAGCAAAATATATGTGAGTCATCATATTTGAAGGCGTGGTGTGCGCGTAGGCTGATTACGGCTCAATGAGACGTTAAGTTGGTACCAAATTTTAATTTTTTTCGAGTGATGTATAACATTGTGACCAGGTTGCCAAAGCGGATCAAGAAGAAAAAGATCTGTAGCGGAAGCTCCAGAGGTCAATAGCGAACTTTCAGATTTCTTCACCACCTGTTTGCACCCGATCGTTTCTTTACTTTTCCCTTCAACTAGAAGTGTCGTGGATTTTTCAATTCGAGATACCATATGGTATAGAGAAGTTGAATCTAATTTGTGCACGTAAGTTGCTATTCTGCATCGTATTATTGTGGCATTGTATTCTACATTCTCTTGTATTATAGTAATTGTGAACAATGTTACCTATGTTTTTTATGATAGAATATCAGCTGGTAGCTAATTAGTTTTTATTTCTGGAAGTCGAGAATCTCGTGAAATTTAAATGCAAACAAAATCTCCAGACGGCCATTAGTCCTAATCACAGTTTATCGCGATTCTAAGTGTTTAGTGTGGATTTCATAAACAAAAATAGATTTTTTACAACAATAACTGGTAACGCACAACATTCCAATACAAGAATATAATTCAATAAATGACAGTTCCGACTATTGCGGGCATTCTAGTAATGTTTGATACATTAGAAGCTTCTGTTTTTCAGCGGATCCGACGATGTTCATGAATGCTGGATTGGTGCTGTGTTGTTTTTGATAGACACGGGATCGGTGCTTTATGAACCTACAAAACAATGTATATGTGATTGGGCGGACGACTGCCCCAGAGAAGGTTTGTTATGGTTTGGATTGTTTTTCTGTAATCAAATTACCAAATCGCATTCATTCCTAGAACGCAAACAGCTAGATTCCCGTCTGATTCATATACTTCCTTTATTGAATAGAAGCTGAAACCCATTCAGGATACAAGTGAGGTCTCATTAATACGTCGTAAACATTGTATAGAAAGTATATAAGGTATATTACCTGGACGCCGTTTTCGAAAAATTAAGCAAAACCTGCATGAACCATGACAAAAAGTAAATAAAACAGCTTTTTGTTTTCGATTTCTAAATGTAAATTTCATTGAGCTATACTATCCATAAATTATTAGCATAAAATGACTAACGGAATAAGTATATACTGTATATAAAGTGTAATATTTTTTAAAGTCGCTGCCGCATACCGAAGGAAGCGTCAGGCTTGTGTTAGTGCTGCGCCCAGTCAACACTTTCTTCTGACGGAGGTTGATTTGGCATTTTCTGAATGCATCGATAATGATCTGGAAAATGATGCTGCTCTTCTTATCTCATACCCATCACTCAACCACTATGACGGAGAATCGGTTTCACTGTTTCTAGTTGGGCATTATTCGTATTGCAGGTGGGTTTTAAAAAATTCTCAGTAGTTCAAAAATGGTATATTTTTGATTAATGACATGAAAAAATATGTAATAAATCGATATTCGTATATTATTCATAATTCAAACGAATTTAAAATTATTAGAAAAAGTAATGTAATATGTAATAAATCGATATTGGTAATATTCATATTTCAAATGAATCAAAAATTATTACTGACTGCTCTGTGCAACACAATTTTTGTCTAAATTATTTCGAATTAGTGACACCCCAAAATTGAAGATAAATGATATTAATGTTTATTAATTTTGGATTTGTGAAACTGAAGGGCATTTTTCTCAAATCGATTTTTTGTTGGAAATATTGTCATAAAACCTTAATTATAATATAGCCTGGTTCTATAACTATGTGTTTTTGATATTCCACAGATGTATTCCTTATATTCTATGTAAGAAATCTTGAAAACAATAATAGAAAAACATGTTGAATACCCTTTTCAAATCATGAAGACTTGGAATTATTCCGAAGATGTCTTTTACCAGATTTCCAATTTCTGGTCGAAATCCATTTTGCGAATAAGCCTCCATATGTATTCACCCATTTCTCGCTCATTGTACTGTCGTTGGTAACGGACATTTGCAATCCAATATGCCGTGATAGTACATAAAACTGCAAATTTTGATTGCAACAGTTACATTAATATTTGTCTGGGAACAGTTATAGGATTCTATTTAAATAAAATGTTTTTGTAAATTTGCAGACCGACAGTCATTTCCAGCTCCAGTTTTGATTTCACAAATGTTGATGAATTTATACAGAACACCCTCCCCACCTTATGCCCTCGTTCTGGTGAAAATGCAGCTTGGAGAAGCAATCTTGTTGACACTATGGGAGAAGTTACAAGACAGGACAGTCCCGTGTGGGATTCGTATACAGTTTGTGTAACCCAACTTGCGTCACAAGGTGACGTGGCATTTGTAGGCAAGTACAAAAAACATAACATATTTCCAGTTACAATTACACGTAGAACCATTTTAGCTTGTATATTTTTGATTATCTGACCAAAATTCATTGATTTTAAGTTAGAAGAGTGAAAAGTTATTCAATTACCAACAAATAAAAAAAGGCCCAAGAAATGCACATAACGAAAGATGTTGTAGGACTATTCTATAAGCTACTGAGATTTTTATTTCTCGAAATAATCCCATATGTGGAATTCAAACTCATTTTCGTTTTGTAGTTCAAAACAGACAGTCACAATTTATGTTTAATTTGTGTATGATAATACGCAACTCCATACTAGACAGGTATGTTTCCCATCAGAATTAAAAATGATCAAACAAACAGTTAATCACCGCCAGTCTGTATACATTTTCTAGGTAACGGACCATGTAATGATCAATTTGCTGGCTGTGAGGAATCGAAGTGTTACATAAGAAGAATTATGTACATCGAATGCCGAAAGACATGTGCAGCATGTACTTGAGAAGCATACATATATTCTTGGATGACCTCTAAATTAATATTCATGTATTTGTACACAAGCACGTTATTTTTTACGTATAATTTTACCAAAACACAAATTTGATACTATATGTATGGTATATTCTTTGACTATCTATATTTCGGCTTGTAGCATATATTAAATAAATAATTATAACATGGATTACCGTATTTTTTTCTTTTTCATTCTCTGATATCAGCTAAGAAAAAGTTCAATAAATCACGTTTGGTTTAGTATTTTCTAATGTTCTGTCGTATATATACTATACTATAGATCATTTCAGTCCTCCCATAAGAAACATATAATAATTGAGGGACTTATACATTTTTGCAAGCTATAACTTTTACTTAACAGTAATTTTATTGGGACTAAATATTGTACTATACAAAAGGATTGAATCGAGGGCATTGATTTTAAAATACATCTCTATTGAGATATTACCTGGCACTTGCTTGTGTAAGTTTACGCTATTACACAACTGAGATTTATCCACTGATAACGAATAAAGCTTTAGTTATGAGGGGATGTCAAGCACAACACCAGGCGAGGATAATAAATCCACAATTGTTACTGTATTGATATTACAGACTGGGGTCATATGATGTGTAACTTTGAGGGTTCAGAATGGATATACATGAACGAGATATCAGAGCCAAGTTGACTTTGTTTGTATGTTTGTCATTTGTACAGTTCATGTTCTTTTCTCAGTTAAATTGAAACTAATTTGGAATTTTTTTTTAAATAGGTGAACATTTATCACGTATATATTATGCGTTGTATCACGTTTACCATGGACACAATGCGTTCCATTGTATCACGTAGATTGGGTAGGTAGGCCTAAAACGTTATGGCGTAAAGCGCGGATGTCATTTGTACTATTTTGGCATGTTCACTCCTTTTACATCGTGTATAGGGCAGGTATTATGAATACCATTTGTACTGCATATACTTTGTACAATGCACGTAGCATGTGCAGCATACAAACTACTTCTGCTCCATACAATCTGTGATGCAATATGGATGCAAATGATTTTTCTCTTTCCCTCCGATAACTATGTTATCTCCAGTTTTTCTCCAGGATATGATATTTTAGTCCATGAGTGGAAATTCAGCCGTACGTAGAAAACATTTTGATCGTAGCAAAAAAGCTGGTGTGGCATTAGCTCCAAAGTTGAACAAATCAGATATAAAGGTAATATTGGTAATAGTGGCAGCTATTTTATAAATTGTTAACTAATAGTTTTTATCAAATTTGCTGGAAAACATAGTCTTTTTGAAAACAGATATTATGATTAGTGTGTAGCTCGGATAGTGAGGCAGATAGTACTAAAATTTTTCTCAAAAAACTCAAATCGACAAATGTCATGCCTTGTTAACGACCTCGGGTAGATCTGCAGGCTGGAATGGACTCACTTTTTGCGGTGTATTTATTTATCTCAATGATTGAATCCGAATCCCAAAGGGGAAATAACCACTGTTGCGAGCACAATCCGAAAGTTGGTTCAACCAATGCGTAAACGTTAAACGCGAGTGATTCACATCAAAAAGCTAAATGACATTTAAGCTTTGTGATTAGAACAAGAGAGAAATTCTGAAATGTATGGACACGAAAGCCAAAACGAATAATGTCAAATCATTCACAGTACCGGTCCGGTATTTCTACCATATTAAAAAAGTCCCGATATCGCTGAGCACGAAATCGCTAAAATTCGATGGCGCAACCTATAAACGGTGCTCAGTTTTTATTTTGATGATGGTATTACACAAAACTATGAAGTAAAAGACAAATTCCATAAAGCCCACAAAATTATTTGAAATGAATGAAAGTAATAGTCTTCTCGCGACGATATTAGGCTTTGGCCAATGAAAGATTTGACCACAAAAACAATAATAGCGATAGGAAAGATACCAATAAGAATACTTACGTCTTACAACAACAACATAATAATAATAATAATAATAATCACAAACTAATCCACTTTGTGTCTAATAATTTTTCACCCAAACTATAGGTAAAATACTTTTTAGCATTTGGAGCATGTGGATCTTCTAAAATCAAAAAAACAACTTTTGCCCGTTGCAGAATAAAGACGCAAGCATCCATTATTGCATTCATATAAAAAGCCACCCCTAACTTACTAATGAGGTTTAAGTAGACCCGTTCACGCCATGATGGTGTCATGTGGTACCTTTTGCGCGAGACTTATTGCTCTTCGAGTCAACATTATCTACAAAACGAGGCTTTAACGTAAAATAAATTTTTGCCGAGCTATTTGCTGAACATCGACTTTTTCGTTTCTTCCGTAACAATGGCTAATCAGCAAGCTAGTAATTATGACGTAACATTTACTATGTTAGCAGTTTTCAGGCATGGTTGTAAACGTAAAGTCTGACTGGTTTTGGTGGTCTTGGGTATGCTCTTTATTTTCATTTGGTCTCATTTAGTCGGAGGTTCCAAGATGGAAAATTAAACCCTTTGGCAATATTTAACAACATGGAATTCCTATTACCATCACATTGCAAGACGAATTTGAACTCAAAAGTACAGTGTTTCATATTGACCGTCCCGAATGAGACCAATTTGAAATATCTTCATGTGCGGGGTCGGGTGAAAAGTATTTTTTCATTTCACAGCTCATACTTCTACCATAACCGCGCTTCTACAGGACATGGGAAAGAGCATTGACATAAGATTGATTCTGACTAAGCCGAATATTGCTAAGATGGTGATGTTTCACTATGCTGGATTAAAAAAATTATTTCGATCTTCCATGGGGGCGTTTATTAGGCCAATTGTCTTCCAAGGGGTGCTGACAGAAAAAAGTTTGGGAAAAACCGCAGTTTACCTTCTTTCTGATGCCTGCCAGAATATTTGTACATGTGTTCTTTTTTTGACAATTTCATCATACTTTTTCAGAAATGATTTGTCTGAAACTTTATTTCCCAATTATTTGGAATTGGATTTTTTGGATTTGAATAATTTTGGCGAACGTTCGGATTTGCCATTTAGCACAATGTCACTTCACCTGGGCTATACACCTATGAACGATATAGTTTCATTCAAAGTCGATTTTTCAGTCAATTTTTGATCGTAAATGCTACAAAATAAACTAAATGCTTAACTAATCAATCTGAACAAATCACCAACGCCAAATAGATTCTTCGCTGTTTGATTGGGTATATTAGTGTTTTCGTAAGCATTAAGACTATGATCTGACGAGAGCTTACAAATATAATTGCTATCTCGTGGGAAGAGTTCATGTTATTCCTGAATATTATTTCAATACTATATTTTTCATCATCCTTGTGGCAACGGCCACATACAGGTATTGCGTGTATAAGGAGAAAGAACTTGCAGTCCACTATACAATATGCTTTCACTCCAAATAAAAATTGTTCTAGTTATTCTAAATCATGGATACAGTTTTCACTTTATCTCAGTTCCAAAATGATTTTAGGTTCACCCTCGAAGGGTGCAAATTCAAGAAGATATGTCAAACTTACATCATCGATATCACTTCAAAATGTATATATTTCATCTCATTTTTTACATAGCAATAGAGTGGTTACATAATAGAAAAATTTGAACTCGCTCTAAGAATTATTCACGAATTCTTTCAACTTTCTTTTTATGCTAGTTTCTGACAAGCACGGTACATTTATAAAATCATGTCACAAGTATCTGATCATTATTTACTTACGCTTGTTCGATCATATCTGAAACCGAGTGTATAACGATATCATCATATACTAAGAATTGTTGAATATGACATCCTGCTGAATTGTTATATCCTGTGTTTATATCCGTGTAACATCTCTTACACTGCAGTATTAGGATATAACTCGAGTCATAGTCTGGAGATTTACTGAACGATTCGTTTTGCTGAATTGTTATCGTTTTTGTCCGGTTATGTCCGTTTGGGCAAAATAGTTCTTGACCTACGCTACTTCCCCAATCGGTTTTCAGATTTTCAGAAGTAAAAATGGAAAGATTTCATCAGAAAGCTTTTACTTCATCATTTTTGAATTATTTTGATTCCTTTGCAACGGATGACTTTTGCTTGATTTTGCTAATTCTGTAAAAAATAATTGCGCCATCTTTTGGTTCCTCCATCGATCAATTTTGGCATCCAGTCTTCAACCAACTGCCAACAACGCGGTTATAACAATACCCCTTATATGTGAGCAGTACACTGTTATCAAATACACTTTCTTTGGTTAAATCTCAAATGTGTTTGGAAGAGTGTACACTGCATAGAAGAACACTAAACAATGAGTTTAGCATATTGTTTGTGTGTATCATATTTGTGTCTGAGGTATCTGTGGTAAATCATATCTGTGTATATATATTTGGGATGACAATAGTAGGTGAATTAACTAATTGTATTTTTAAGTAAAAATTCATATTTGGAATATATACAACTAATTTTATGGCTCTCTGCTACAAATACTGGGTTATCTTCATATCGACAAGTTACCTGATATTACTAGCAAAAGGTATATTGCTTCTCTGCTTTTTTATGTTATAAATGATGGTTCGTCAATATATACTTTTTAACAGCTCTAGATACAAAAGGTATTTTACTTTATGAATCCTAATATAAATATTGGGTGCTCGTGTTCTCTGTCTATTTTACTTGTAGTTGACTCTAAAATTTTCGAGGTTGCTAAATAATAATGTAATTATAAAACTGCAAAGAAACCTAATGGTCGCATCCATTTAAGTCGAGTGGTATGTTCTCCATCTGCTAAATCGTTCTTCAATTTTATTTATTTGCAAATAATTTATCATCCCTATTCGAAAATCCAAATCATATTGATTTAATAATTGCCTTATTATCACTTTGAACTATTACTTTATTGCTACTTGCAGCTTGCCAGGGTGGAGCGAGAAAGAAAAGAGATGTTGCTCCCGACGTTAATGCAGAACTTTCTGATTTTTTCACTGAATGCTTGAAACCTATCGCTTCGTCATTTTTTTTCCTCAACAAGAAGTGTCGTGGACTACTCGATTCGAGACTGTTTGTGGTATAGTGAAGTCGAGTTATCACTTTGCAAGTGAGTCAAGTTAAAAAAAAACTGTAATATTTGTCGGGAACTATGTTGTAACTAAAATCATTACAACAACTCATTGATATCACAAAATGTATACATACAAATTCATTGAATACAACTTTATGATAATTGCATTTTTTTAATGGCTCTCTTGAATTCGTAATCATTTAATTGTTGTTTCAAGCAAAGCATCAGATCATGCCCTACCTCAATTCCTTTATAAAACCTGACCCTACTTCTTTTACTTTTCAGCGGTACCAATAATATCCACGAATGTTGGATAGGATCTTTGGTATTTTTAATCAACACGACGTCGGTTTTATACGAGGAAACTGCGCAATGCATTTGTGCCTGGGCTGACGATTGTGATGGTATGTAGGTTACTATTTTAATCCGGAGGTAGCGTAGAAAGAGGGATGGTTATTTTCACTACATGAGAAACTTTTATATTTATTAGACAGAAAAAGGAGAGCCGCTTGTCCAAATGCTGCTGCTGGTCAATTGTCTACAATTCAAGAAC